TCCGAACACCCCAAAGGAACTGCGGAGGAGGACAGCTCCAAGTCCCCGAGCGCACGGGGCTCTGAGGTCCGTCTGAGCAGTTCTGCGGCCCCACGGCCCTGCTCTCCGATTGGCCCACTGTTCTCCGCGGTACTGCTCACTCGGGAAGAGTCGCCCCGGATCACAACAGACCATTCACAATCCCACAAAGTTTCTGACCTCCTGCTCGTGTCTTCACAGCTTTCTTCTCCATGGTCCTCCTGTAACCATGCTCCTCCGGAGGGATTTTGGAAAGGCTCTTCCTACATTCTCGGTTCCACCCTTTCATGTAGACTTAGATTCCGACCGAGTGCAAAGTGTGGTTTCTGGGGACCAGCTTTTGTGGCTCATCCTCCTCCCTAGCAGCTTCTCTCCTGGTGGGTGCTAGTCATTGCAAATTGGCTGAAAATCGCCCAATATACACAGTATTATCCTCCACGGAATTGAGGCCGATCTGATTTTAAAAGTATACTTACGTTAATGGCTGATCTGTGGGTCTTTTCAGTATTACCAGAATTATTCTTTTGATCTGTCTTGAAACACTTCGTTTTCCCCCCCTTTCTTAAGGAGCAGAGCACTTTGGGTTTCAGAAATCTAGAAATGTGGAAGGTGGGCTTCACCAACAATCTGTACGCATATTTTCCTAGAGACTGACTATGAGTAACACAAAGTCTCCAGATTTCTCAGGGTTCCAGAGAAAAGCGCCAGCCTCCTGCAACTGGGCAGGAACTGTGATAATGAGATCTGTAGCCATTTGTCTAGTCAATTACTCTCCTCTGAAAGGGTGATAAAGTAACTCTGATCTCAGGGAGAGGCCAAACGGCTACAGCCAGCGGGGGCCCTGGTCTGTAGGCGATGCCCCAGGGTGCCTGCAGACTCCAGCACTGTCTCCATCCGTGTGCACATCAAAAGCAGTGAGGTGCCAGAACTCACAGACCCTGCCAGGCGGCGACAGTGGAAACACTGAGGATGTCTAGCGCCAGGAGAGATTATCTACCTGCCAAAGGGTGGGAGGCAGGTTTCGGGCCCATTAAGTTTCCAAGGAGAGTCCTTCAGGAAGGGGAGGGGCACAGCTCCCTCCTTCCTCTCCATAAGCAGAACAACTATTTTCCTTTATCCCTCCTCTGTGGACCATTTGGCTGCTTGCTAAGGCATTTGATCCTTGGCCCAGTGTAAGACCTCGAGGATGTGCCAGTGGGTTGATGTATTTATTATTTACATTAAGGAAATTAATAAGAAATCTGTCTCAGATGCAGAATACCTCATGCGTGCATTCAGGATAAGTTAATAACGATGAATATTAAACAACCAAACACTAACAAACAGACTGGGGCGGGTCCTTTCTCTCCTCCTGCACCAATCCTGACCGGCTCCGGCAAAAGAGGGAGTGAGGCCTCCCATCAAAAACCTTTCCAGGCTGGGAAATGCCTCAGGGCCAAGGTCAGCCATGAGGCTCCCACCCCAGCCTGGAGAGCTGTCAATAAAAAAACAAGACACCCAGTTATATGTGAATTTTGGATAAATAGCAAATAATTTTTAGCATAAATATATCCCAAGTGGTAAATAGGACATACTTATGTTTCAGAAGAAAAACCCCCCATTCACTGTTTATCTGAAATTGCAGCCTCTTGTGTTTTTATTGGCTGAACCCGGCCCTCTGTGGTGGTGACCAGTGAAGACCCTTTGGAGATGACACCTCGTGGCCATTGAAAGAACAGAATAAAAAGGGCACCAAGACCTCCCTCCCCTTCATTTTGGGAGCATGTTGGAGGACTGTACTCGGGATACTGAATCCAGGAAATACTGAAATACTCCACACTTTCTGTGTGTCATGGATGAAGTGTTCCCCCCTCACACACACAGCCACCTCTCACACTCATGTGTTAACACCTAACACAACTCCTGCCGTGGCTGCATTTGGAGACGAGGCCTCTAAGGAACTAACTAAGGTCAGATGAGGTCATATGGGTGGGGCCAGGATCCAGCACGATTTGTGACCTTACAGGAAGACCAGACAACCTGGGCACAGGGGCCTCATGAGGACACAAGGCAGCCAGTGGCCAGCCAAGAAGAGTCCTCGCAAGAAACCGACCCTGTGATCTTGGACTTTCTCGCCTCCAGAACTGTGAAAAAAATAAATTCCTGTTGTTTTCAGTGCCGCTCTGCCCCACCCGGCCTGTAGCATTTCGTTACAGCAGCTCCAGCAGACGGACTAAGGCAATATGGTTACAACCCACTTCTCAAGCACCCACTGACTCTTTTTACAATGACCGTTAAGCTGGGATGCTTTTATTCCTTCCAGCTAAAAGATGGAACTCCTGCGACCCGGAAAGCAACTAGAACAGTGCTTGGAACACAGGAAGAATTTTTTAAAAATTTGTATCAAACAAATCAAAGTTACCCAGCTGAGGTTGCACTACGGGGCTGCGGCAGAGGCAGGACCTTGGCTACAGGGGTCTTTTATTTCCGGCTGTTTCTGTCGCTGGCCAAGGTGCTGATTCCCCAAAGATGAAATCCCTTTGCCTGCCTGGTTTGGATCTCCTCATCTCTAATTTGGGCCTCATAATTCCCCTTTCTGATCATCCCACAGCAGCGTGCTGGGTGAGGCAAGCGGAGTGGGAAAGGTCTCCGAAAACCGTAAGGACAACCACCTGCGTTCTTGGCACTTCATTGTAAAAGACAGTGAGCAGTGGGAGGCAGATCAGTAAAGGGTCATCAGTGAGGGGTCTGTCCCAGAAGCTTGGCTGCCGTGTCCCTTTTGAGGACAGGGAGGAAGCTGGGGAGAGCCTGTGGGGAAGGAAGTTCGGTGCCCAAGTTCTCCTTGTGGGTTTCCACAGGGAAGCATTTGAACGTGATCTTGGCCAAAACAGCCTCCTCCCTCCTCTATTCCCCAGCCCCCCCGGGATCTCCTCCTGGTGTCTGAACTGAGAAGCGGCAAGTGCCTGTGCTAGACCAAAAATCACACCCAGGCGGGTGGCCTAGACCCTGCATTTTAAATAACCAGGAAACTCCCAGAGTGCCTTCATCTGCGTCGGCGCTGTGACGGCACTTCATCCACCGTTGTGAGCAACAGAACCCAACTCTGGCTGACTTTAGCCAAAGGCAGGATTTTTTTCAAAAATACACAAGGCAGCTTGAGAAATTAGGGGAAACACAGGACCAGACCAGGAAGGACAGGAGCACAGGGAGTAACGAGAACCTGAGCACCAGGAACGAACGGTCCCTGTGGTGGGGGTGCTGAGTCCTGTGACCCGTCTGTCCCTGCTTCTTCCCTTTTCTCTCGTCCCGTTGCTCTGTGACGGGGAGGTTTTTCAGCTGCAGGAAACAGGGGTCATGACTAAGAGTGGCTGAACGGACACAGGTGTTTATTTCACTGTCTTACCGAGATGAGTGGTTTGCGGGGTTCGGCCTGGTAGCTCGTGCATGTCACAGTCTGCGCCTCCAATTCTTTGGTTGTTTTGTCGCAAGAAGCCTGCAGAGGCTCCAAACTCATTCTCCCACCAGTACTGCAAGCAGGGAAAAGACGTACAGCAAAAACAGGGAGGTTTCCTTTTTACTAAAGAGGCCTCCCCCCACTCACCCCTTTATAATTCATTGGTTGGAACTGGGGCCAAGATCCACCCCCAGCCACAAGGAAGGCCGGGGAAGTGAGCTCGGGGCAGAGGGAACAGAAGAGCAGCGATTGGCTTACACCGGGACCTCATTTCCAGGGCCTGGCGTGTTGCTGCCCCAAATCAAGGCTCCATTAGTGAGGAAGACAGGGTGGGGCTCTCGGCATTCAATGCCCAGCGAAGGGACTAACTGAATGGGAGGCCTAGTGAAAGAGAACCAAGGGGCCTGGCCGGAGTCACGATGGGCGCCTGAAAGGTGACGTGTCAGAAGGAAGCGAGATCCTCGCTGGAAGACAGGGGATGGAGGCTGAGTGCAAGCGGCTCTGCTCCGCCCCCCTCTCCCATCAGCCCTGGCAGATAGCGGGTGGTATTCCAGGAGCCGCTGTGTAGTTCACGGGGCCCGGTGCAAATGAAAACACAGGGCCCGAATGTCCAACAATTATGAAGAATTTAAAGACGGTGGCACCAGAGCATTAAACAAGCTTGGGGCCCTTCGGAGGACGTGCCCTGTGTGACTGCGCTGGTCACACGGCCATGAAGTCTGCCCTGGCCTGGCCCAGAGCAGAGTGACCATCCCCGGAAGCTTTGGTGAAGGTGTTTTAGGGTCTGTTTTCCCATGAAATTGGATTAAAATACATTCATGGAGAGTGGGGAAAACTGTGATTTGTTTTGTTATAATAACCACGTGTCCAGGCCTTAGTACTAGGTCTCAGAGAGCAAAGAAAGAGGCGGCCACCCCCTTTTAATGCATATAACCCAGGGCGGAGGCAGAATTCAGAGAAGACAAGTTCTCCGGGGGGTCCACTCCACCCCAGCTGTAGCAGAGGAAGTGGGGGGAAGGCAGCTTTCACCCTCATGCCCCCTCAGGCTGGTGATGCCTGCCTGTCTATCATCTGCTCATCATGGGGGCCCCGTGCGGTGCAACACATTATCTCTGTCTTAGAGACGTGATCACTGGGGCCCAGAGAGGACCATGGTCACCAGGGGACATGGGCAAGCTGCGCCTGGACGCCGGGCCGTCTGAACCCAGAGCCCATGTTCTTTAGCCTCTGCACCACTGAGTAAATCTAAGGGGGTTGGGGAAATTGTGAACCACCTTGGCGAGCCCAGATATAAAGGGGCTGCTTTCTTTAGAGTGGGGAGGGTCTTAGAATCCTAGGCCCCAGGGAGCTGTGATAGGGGGTGCCACAGGGGTATCACTCAGACACAGGAACGCAGGCCGGGTGATAACCCCAAAACTGTCAGAGGGAGACGAGCCTGGGAGCCTGAGCCAGGAAATGCACGTAGCTTCCCCCACAAAAGTGTCTGTCATACACGGTCAGTTTCTGAAACGAAGCCACGAGCCAGGGACATTTGTCTAAATACTTTTAATTAAAATGCACTGTAACAGGATGAGAGCCAGAATGTAAAAGGCAGTCTTCACGTTTGCTAGGAAAACATGAGCATATTCCAGGTTTAGCTGAATACACTTCTGATAATGAAATTTGAAATAGCTTCTTGGTTTCAATTTTACTTAAGATGTTTATGTAGTTTTAAAAAAATAGCTTGCTATTCATTTTCTACTGAAGTGCAGGAAATGCTGAGACATTTTAAATCAGTAGAGATTCAATGCACACAGAACAGCCCCTGTTCCACTGCAGAATTACAGTATCTCTGAGCAATACCATTTCTGTCTTGGCGGTCAACCCATCCAATTCCATTTAGAGCCAAATGCCAGCCTCAAATTCAATTTATCTGGTGTCCAAGTCCTGTGAAATTGTCGAGTTTAATGAGATAGCTCAGCGCAATTAAGACACTGTTAATCTGGTCTCAAAATCAATTTTCTTTCCAGGACAATCTTTGGGAACCTCAAACATCCCATGCTTTGTATAATAAGCAATATACATTCAAGGGTTGGTACCTAAAGGAATAAGTACATTTGTATAAAAAGTTTTCTTATAAAATAGGGTCTCACAGTGAGGGTGCCTGACTTGGAAACATTGGGCCAGCGGCTGAAGGGCAACAGGCTTCTGACTTGATGCATCTGGAATACTTGCTAAAGCTGGAAGCATTCTCTGCACTCGGGCCTTAGAACATGTCGTGCAAATGTGGGAATGATCGACGGGGATGGCAGAGAAAAAAAAAATGAGCCCAAACCTCCAGATGTCTCATTAAAAACAGCGTTTCCCAGTGACAGGACGCCCCGTGTGGGATTTGTTGTTGCAACGTCTGTTTAACTGAGTAGGAGTGGAGACGTTGCAAATGCACGTCAGTGGCCGACCATTAGATGTTACATTACTGCCAGGCAGCGGACTGAGTGCAAAAAAACAAGCACGCTCCTCCTGCACCAATCAGAACTGGCTCTGGCAAAGGAGGGAGTGAGGCCTCCCATCAAAAACCTTTCCAGGCTGGGAAATGCCTCAGGGCCAAGGTCAGCCATGAGGCTCCCACCGCAGCCTGGAGAGCTGTCAATAAAAACACAAGACACCCAGTTTAATGTGAATTTTGGATAAATAGCAAATAATCTTTAGCATAAATATGCTCCAAGTGGTAAACAGGACATACTTATGTTTCAAAAGAAAAAAAACCCATTCACCGCTTATCTGAAATTGCAGCTTCCTGTGTTTTTATTGGCTGAATCCAGCCCTCTGTTGTGGTGACCACAACTTTTTAGTACGTACTGAAAAGGAAGATGCTCCCAGATAAATCAAGAGAAAAGTAACAGTGGCTGTAGTGTGTTACCATTTGTGAGGGGCGGGGGAGTTGGAAAGGAAGGGAACGAGGATGAATTTGCACAATTCCTTGTGAAAGCTTTGAGTACCTCTGAGAGGACGCGGAAGAAACTCATAATAATAGTCGTGGTTTCCAGGAAGGAGACTGAGGGAGGCTGGGCACCAGGGGTAAGAGGGAGAATTGTTTACTGGGTGCCCTTTCACACCCATGTAAATACGTGACTAGCCGTTAAAACAAATTAACAAAAGCTTTTTTTAAAGGGTAAAATGATGTCACTCCTCATTATATCCGATGCGATTTCCACTCCGGTCCAGCAACATGTCACCAACTAGGTGAGTCCGTTCGTTGCCCTGGCACCTGGAGGTGTAGACCCCCCACCAACATGTTTAATATTTTCCCAGGGGAAATGAAAGTTCTGCTTTTAGGTTGGTGAAAAAACATAGACAATTTGCAAGCCCTCAAAGGCCCGGTTAGCAGTTCTCCATGTTCAGTAATTTTACACAAAATGGGCACTGCCTACCAGAAACCGGGCCCTTTGTGTTCATCATTCCCGGCAGAGACAAACGGCCCAATACCACTTTGTGTTTTTCCGTCCCCACCCCCCCAAGAGTCATTCGGTTTGCAAATCTGATCTTTTCAATAAATACCCATTGTCCTCGCCCTGCGGCTCAGCTGGCTGGAGTGCCATCCCTCACAACGAAATGCTGTGTGTTCAATCCCTGGTTGGGGCACATGCGGAAGGCAGCCAATCGGTGTCTCTCTCTAACGTCAATGTTTTTCTCTCCCTTCCTCTCTCTTTAAAATCAATAATCGTATCTTCGGAGGAGGATTTAAAAAAATCCATCGACTGAATCACTCCCCTCCCCCTTTTCTGAATCATAAAAGCAGCATGTGGTGATCGGGAGAGACTTGGGGAATTTCAGGGGTATCAGCTGGGAGATTCATCTCCTAGGATTCATCCAAGCTGCCACCATTGCCCGGACAGCAAGGGTGTCGAAAGTGAGGGGTAGGTCAATCCCTGCTGAGGAGAGGGGGTGACTGGTAGGGGGGTGCTCAGAAATGCTCACAGCCCCTGGCCAGCGGGCCCATTTCTGTTTTATCTGCTCTGAGATAATGGCATCGCTGGGGCTGAACATGGTCTGGGGGGGACAAGCCCTCAGCGCCCGAACCAGCCTCCTTGGCTGCAGGCAAAGACGGCATCGACTCGGGCTCAGAGGATCCCGGTTCCCGGCGGGTCCAAAGGACAGTACAACTGCCCGCCTTTGTGCTGGACGCTTCCTGTCCTTGAAATGTGAGGGACAGATTCCTGAAGGGAAACCCCAAACATTCAAAGCCTTGATCTCTCCAACGAAGCATCCCATGGTGTTAGAGCCTTATCTATTCCCTGTCTATGAACTTCCAAACCAGAAAAAAATGTTGTTCTTAAAAATAATAGTCAAGGGAAGTGGGATTTTCAAGCGAGGGTGGGAACTTAGGGACACTGGGAAACGTGCTGATTTCAAGAGCAGCCCCGGGAGAGGCTGATATCGGGGCAGGAAGGGTGGCTGAGAGCCACGGCGGCCACCACTGGGGACCAGCGTCCTGCTGCTTGGCTGCCGGGGGAGCACAAGCAGTGGGCACCTCACTCCCCCTCCTTCTTCTCTTCTTCTGGGATCTCCACTGACAGGATCTGTTCCTCGGGGTCCGGGCCGGGGCTTATGCAGATCCGCACTGAATGCTCCTCAGGACCAGCTGCCTCCTTCTTGGCCTCCCCTGGGGAGGCAGGTGGCTGAGAGGCTGGGGCTGAGGGTTCTGGGGCTGAGGGTTCTGGGGGCGCAGGCTGGTCAGGGGCGGTGGAGCCTGCCTCTCCTGCAGCATCTTCCGAGCTCTTGGCCTGGAATCCCAAAAGAGTGGCTGGTGAGGCAGAGAACCTCTAAGGGCTCTTAGGTACCTCCCTGCTCCCCCTGTCGGACCCCCTTGGGAGAGGCTGGTGGAGGCTCAGGATGGAGGGCTCGGCAGAGCCGCATCAGGCTTACTGGTTCAGACAATACATCACGGAGGATGCACGTTTAGGGGTTCCGAGTCCTGATGGATTTAGTGGAAGGCCCCGGGGAGACATTTTAGGTCTCGGCTGCATTGCAGGACTGCGGGCCCCCCACCCAGAGCTATGAAAGCAGGAGAGGCCATGACCTTGAGGGAGCATCTCCTTGCCAAGCTGAGCTGGCCTCACTGCCCCACCCAGTTCTCAGGGCTGCCTGCTCCTGGTTGAGTGAGAAAAACCCTAAGAAAACAAGGCAAAGACTGATGAGGGCAGGAACAGATGTGGCCTGACCCCCTTTCTGGAAGGTCTCAAAGGTTGAGCTGCCCAGAGGCCACTGGCATTGAGCTGGGCTGAGCCCCCTGATTTGGGGGCTTGGTGGGTACCTCCAGCCTCCAGCCTGCGGTCTGCCCATGGATGCTGGCCATGGCCTGTGTATCAGTGGCAGATTGGTTGAATGCCCATGCTTTAGCGGGCACCCGTGGCCCCTCCTGCCCTGTCCGACCCCATCTCTGCACAGAAGGACAGTGGGGACAGAGCAGCCTCCAGACCAGGAGCCCCAGGGGGTCCACAGAGGTCCAAGGCCCACTTGAGAGGGTGGTGGTGAGTTCAAGTGAGGGCAGTTGGCGCACTTGAGAGAAACAGAGACCCCGAAGTTTGCTGGAGTCCTAAAGTGTTGAAGGAAGGGGAATGGGGGACAGGATGCTCCTAGAACCCAAGGCATCTTGGGGGACTCGCCATGCCCTCTGTCCCTGTGTTTCTGCACATTTGTCATGCCTGCTCCACCCTCCCCTGTCCACTCTGAACTCGGACAACGCCCCAAGGCAGGATGGTTGGGTGTCCCGAGGCCTCAGATGTGCCCCCCGTGGGACCATGTGCAGCATCCTGCTCTAAGCGGAGCCAGAGGAATCACAGAAAGCTCGGTCAAGGGCTTCGCCATGGTCAGACTGCTTTTACAAAAGGCAGCCTGGGCACCCCACTTCACCTCTGACACCCTATATGGCAACCACGAGGAATTGAGGTCTCAGGAGTCTTGAGGAGCTAGCTACCCAGGCCACAGGGCCGGCAGTGACAGAGCGGGACTCTGACTGTGCCTTTGGACGGGTACTGAGAGCTCACACTCCGCCATTCTGCCCTGGTTCCGAATTGCGGGGGAAGTGGCTTTCACTGGCAGCTTTGTGCAGATTGAATTCGCGTCTCCCAGCTGCCCCGGTGAGGGGCCAACATCAGGCGCCCCTTTCAGGGAAAGCCGGTCATTGTACCGAGAACACACTCGGAGCTCACGTCCACTTGGCCTCCCTGAAGACCCCAGTTGCCAGCCTGATACTGCCCCGGACAGTTTGTGAGCCAGACCGGCGCATCTGTCCTCCGTCTGCGGCCATTGGTGATCACATCCGAGAACTGAAACCCCAGCTGGCTTTGAGATCACTCCTCAGTCCCCTGCAGTCACATGGCTTCCGATGGGGTCCCCGGGCTCTGACACCGGCCTGGATTGAACCTGAGTTCACTGAGCTCCTCTGAATTGTCTCATGGAGACTGCTGTCCCCTCCTGCCACTGAGCCCCTGCCTAACCGCCCCCCCCTTCCCAGCAGCCTCCCTGAAGGACAGTGATGAGCAGCCATAATTAATGCGATCATTCTAATTGGCATTCTTGGCATTAGTCACAGAAAAAGTCCCAGAACTAATTTCAAAATTCCCTTTAGATTTATGGGGATGGGGCAGTCGGCGCCATGCCTGTCACCTTTTCAAGTCTTTCAAATTGTCTCAGACACAAAATTAACTATGAGAACACCACTTTCATCCGAGGAGGGAGGGGCACTCCCTGCCCACGCCAAGACTTCCCTTTGGGAACCCACCCCATCCCCTCAACATAGCCAGGGGCATGTGAGCCAGGCCTCTGCAGAGCACCCATTAAATGGCTTAGGAACTGACATGTGACCCAAGCTGTCCAATGACAGCGAGCCCTGAGACTTTTGCTGGAATCACTGGGAGAGAGGGACTCTTTCTGTCGGACTTGCTAAACCAGGAGGGAGTAAGCCAGAGCTCGAGGGGGCCGGCCTGGGAATGGAGCCACCCCCGAGGGCAGCAGAGAGGTCAGACCAGCACACTGCATCCCATTCTCATCACTTGACCTTTGGGATCCAGCCCTGCCTGAACTTTTAAATTATGTGACCCGATAAATTCCATTTTCTCAATGAAACATGAGCTTGCACTTGCATTTCTGTCACTCGCAATCAAACAAGCCCTGCCGGATAGAAAGAAGGGAAAGGACTCCCTAAAATTCAATGTGTGATCCACGCTCTGAGGTCCCCAGGCCTTCTTCCCAGCCCACGGCTGAAACGAGTGGGTGGCTGGGCTCCCACCACGTTACCTGTTCCAGCAGCTGTTGCTGTTTCGCAGCTGCCTCCTGCGCAGCCAGTTCTTTGAGTCGAGCCCTGAGGTGGGCCAGCTTGCCGCCTTTCGCCCCCCTGGCCATCTTCCCCGCTGCAGCCAGGGCAGCATTGAAGAGCTTGGGGGTGCCGGCCCGGGGGGGAAGGATCAGCACGCTCTTCTCCTTAGGCTTGTTGTTGTTTCTCAGCATGCGCCTGAAAAAAAGCAAGGTCCGCGAGTGTCATAAGCTCTGGGACAAAAGAAGGGCTCGTCTGCGTTGTCTGTGCCCTCTGAGTTGGACACGTGTGATGGTGGTTGTTTGGGGAGCCATTTTTAGGTGCATTTTCTGAGCCGTGCACAGCGCTGAGTGCACAGCATCTCACTGAACGGTCAGAACGACCAATGTGGGTCTTGCTGTCTGCGCCCTCTAGATGAAGAAACGGAGGCCCAGAGGGGTTGAGTAACTTTCCTGAGGTCACACAGGAAATAAGGAAGGGTACTTCAGTAAATGGGATCAGAAGTAAGATGCCCAGATGACAAAGGACCCCAAGCTTTTTGCTTCTATCTCTTTTGCTTCATTGTCACCTCACCACCAGCACTGTCACCACTATTGGCATTTGCTGAGTGTCTGTCTGTAGTGTCAGGCCCTGTGCTCAGTCCTTTACAGGCAGGCACTTGCTGGTGGCCTCTGGGATCCCCCTGCCTGGCCTTCACACCTCTGTGTGATCCCCTCCCCCGAGGGCGAGTGGGACATCCGACTCACTTTCAATCAACAGAACACAGCAAGGGCGCTCAAATATCACATTTGTGAATATGTCACGTAGCCTTGTGACCGCTGTCTTGCAAGGACAGGCAAAGCCCTCGGAGGAAGCAAGTAGCCACATCGAGGGACGTGAGGTGGCAAGAACCTAAGGGCAGCCACCGGTCCGCAACTAGCTAGGAATGGAGGTCCCCAGTTCTACAACTACAAGAACTGGATCTGGCCAATAACCACGTGACCTTGGAAGCACGTCTCTCCCCACTTGAACTTGAGATTTTTGTGATTTTTAAGCTACTAAATTTGTGGTAATGTTTTTATGCAGCAATAAATGACCGATAATGCACTCTGTCATTTAAGTCTCGTGGTAACCCTCAGGTAGGCCCTATGATCTTCCCTCATTTCAGATGAGGCTACGGAAGTCCAGAGGGGCTGAGTAACTTTCCCAAGGCCACACAGCCAGGAAGTGGCCAAGCTGGGCTTCAAACCCACGCCTCTGACCCCAGTACCGCAGAGCTCAATGATTTCAAAGCAACATCACGGTCATGCTCTTCTTGGATGCTGAAGGGTTACTGTACCTGTGAGAGTTGGGGTAACTGAGGCCCAGAATGGAGGGCGTGACTTGCCAGGAAGTGGCAGACATGGAGTAACAACCCAGACGAAACGCAACCTATCAGCCGACTTCCAGATGAGGAGAGAATTCTCCATCCAACAGAGCCCTGGCCTTTCCTAAGGAGCTTTTCATACTACAGATTTATGATGCGTGGTTTGGCTCAAGAACAAATGAATTTTGCCTGCAGTCTAGGGCCTAGACTACTAATTGGCAAATTCATTCATCAGAGTTCCAGCAAAGCTTGTTTGTTTAAAAATGAGGCCATTGCTGGCTGCTTATCTAATCAGAGGCAATGGATTTAAATTGTGCGTATGGATACTAATTGCCCAAGCCTTGCATTTGCTGGCGGGGGTTCTCCCAGGAGAACACAAACATCATAACCCATCAGAGGCCTCTCACATGCCCGGCACCGTCACCTGTGTCATTTGAGACCAGCATGCATAGCACACCGGTCCACAGGAAGGCTTGGCGTGATACTAAAATGACACAGAGAACTATCTATAGGACCTTTGCTGATGGCTGATGGCTGGTGGCTGGCTCCGTTTTGAAACATCGAGCGGACTTCTGGGACATTTCCAGATGGAGGAAAGCAAGCCTCGTTTTCACACGACATGCATTTCACCGTAATTAGGATCAAACATTCACCCCTGAAGAAAGTGGCATGCATGAGACATTTTTGCCCCGTTCCTTGGAGGAGCCAAGTCAAAGACCTGAGCGCCTCCTTTGCTTGGGGCCTCAGGTCTCCCCCGTGAAGTGGGGGGCTCAGGCAGAGCCCCGCGTGGGGCCCTCACCCACTCAGACATCTCTAGGCCCTGCGGTTCTCAGGCTGAGTCTCTTGTTTCCATGGGCAGAGCCCCCGCCTCTCTCCTCAAGCTCATTGTCTGGGGAATCCGAATCACACCCTCCTTCCTGCCCCATGACAGCACACCGCAGGCAGGTCAAACCCTCACCTAAGCCAGCCTGAGACTGGGGGCAGCAGGCTCTCCTGCCGTGCTCCTCTTGCGGGAGGGGAGTTGGGGCGGGAGGGGCAGGGACGGGCCAGTTCTCAGACATAAACAGTTGTCCCCATGATTCAGGTCTATCAAGTCCCTGCAAGCCCCGAATTAGCGACCACTGAACTGCTGCTGCTGGGGGAGGGCAGGATAAAGTCTCCACGTGCCCCTCAACACGGCACTTCCATCAGCAGATCAATACGAAGCCTGTGTGTGCGTGTTTCTCTTTAAAGACATCTTATTTAACACACCGTCGACCCATTAACCATGAACCCAGGGCCAACAGCTCGATCACTGGGGTCTGCACGAAGGCACATCCCAGCCTTCTCGCCCTTAGAAAATGAGACAGCATTTCAGCACCACACTCAGGGGCCCTTTTAAGTGGTAAAGCCACCAAAATTTTTTTTGCAAAAATGTAAAAAACGTGGCACATAACAGGCCACCAAGAAAAGACACTAGTTTACGGTAGGAGCTGGAACAAGAAGGCAGAGCATCTGTCCGCTCAGCCCTCAGCTTCAACACACAGGTGGGGCCCCTCACATTCTCCACTGCTGTCTGCAAAGTGCCAGCATGACCTTGACTATTGATCTGGGGTCGTAAATAAATTTTAGTGAGGAGGCAACTGCAACTACAGGGTCCATGAATAACGAGTGCTGACCTCACTTCCCTGGCCCTCGGGAGAGGAGGGGGCAGTGGGCAATTTTGCGGGAGCAGTTCAGGCCAAACAACCTTTGCCAGGGCCCAGTGGCTTCTCGGAGGCAGGCAGGGAAGATGGGCCCCAGGACGGCTCCCTTCCCCAGGGGACCCCAGTGACTCCTGTGTGTCGTCCTCTGATATCAGCGCTATATCCACTCACCTGGGAGTGGCTGCCAAGGGGGCCCTGTGGAGACCTGAGTCACCAGTCACCTCCTGTGTAAAACCCTGCATATATCTCGTCTCCCTCAGAGTAAGCGCCCGAGCGATTTCGAGGCTTCTCCCAGGGGCTGCACCCAGTCTCGGCCCCTAAGCTTCTCCCACCCCATATCCAGCGATGCTCCCACGTTCTCACTGGTCTGCACACGCCCTGAGGCTGTGCCACCTCAGGGCCGTTGCACATGCTGTTCCCTCTGGCGTGCTCTTCCCTGCGGGCAGCGCCCCAGCTCACTCCCTCACTCTGGGCCCATCTCGGCTGCAATGCCGCCTCCTCAGAACAGCTTTTCCTTAGCGACTTGTGTCCAACAGCTCTCTCCATCACCTTCTGTCCTCACAGGGCTCTGTGTCCCCTCACAGCCCTGACCCCCAGCTGACACGTCTCACAGCCCTTCACTCCCCCAGTGCTGGTCTCCCGACCGGAACGTAAGCTCGTTTGGCCCCCGCCGTGTGCCCAGGGCCAAACACTGCATCCTCAATAAATCACTGTGCCGGATGAATACATGCTGGTGTCGGTTCCTTTTATCACGACCACTCTCTGGGCAGTATATTTACGGTGTTATCTCATCGAAAGGAGTGGAAAGTAAGAATATGTGATAAAAGGCAAGGTGGGGCAGAAAGCAGAGAGGTGATTAAGAAGTCTTAATCCAATGGAAAAATTATAGAGGGGCTTTAATGGGTAAACGTTTTTATTGAGCTCCCCCACAGGCCCGGCTCCCTGCTGGAGACATCTACACACAGTATGTCATTAATGTTACCCCTAGTTAACAGGGGAGAAAGCTGAGACCAGACAAGTTAAGTAACTTTTCCGAGGGCACACAGCCAGTACCACACATAGATGAGATTTAATCCCTATCAGCCTCCCAAGCTGGACACCATACAATGAGGCCTCCGTCACTCAATTAAAAGCCTCATCTGAAGGGGTTGAAAGCAAAAATGCACTTTTTTAAGAAATTGCCTACTGCCCAGCAATACAAAATATGGACGTACAAGGTTTCTCACTGCAGCACTGTTTCTGTTACAAAACATTGCCGAGAGCCCGAATGCCCACTCGCCCCGCAGGGATGGGCGCACTGCCTGCAGCCGGAGGGAGAAAGCTTCTCAGGATGTGTGGTCACGTGAATAACAAGCAAGCAAAATGCAAAAGAGAATCTACCGTACGCTGCGTGTCGTGCAAGACAAAAACAGAGTTCAGGAAACATCCACGGATCTGCCTGTTTTTGCAAAAGGGAGCACCGGGAGGAAAGAGCGGAAATTAAAGAGACTGGGGTCCTTCAGGGGGTGGGCGGCAACAGGCGGGGGGAGGCGGGACCCTTCTCTGAGGATCCTGTTTTGTAGCAGACGGACTTTCGGTGCCATGTTAATATATCTCGTGCTCAAAGCCACACACACACACCCGAATTCTGATCCCTAGAACAGAACACACCAACCCCACTGTATTTCAGGAGGACAAAACAACACCACTCAGGGAAGGGCATGAGAATTAATCCAAGTCACACTGAAGACAGGCGCCTGTCACACGCCCTCCCGCTAAAGACAGAGAGAGCCGCACTGCACTCAGAAGCCTCTGTTTTTTTCTGGTGACACCTGGTCGTGACGCCGATGCTACTTTCTCTGTCTTGATGTGGGGAGAATACAGTCAAGTTCCTCAGGGGGCAGAAGGCATTTACAAACATGGGAAAGGAGGAGGTCGGGATGAACTCTGTGGTGTCAGGTTGCAATGGTTAAATACAGACAAACACAAACGGAAAAAAAATGGATGGTCAAAGGAGTCAAGGGCATTAAAGACAGGAAAAGGCTGAGGAACGTGGATCCCAGATCGAAGGGGACAAAAGATGAAATATGGCAACATCATACAGTGGCTCCCCCGAATGACCCAGGGGCAGAAAAGAAGAAAAGAAAAGCTATGAAAGACACTGTTGGCACAATTAGCAAAGTTCACATCTGGGTCAGGGATGAGATACAGTATTGTTTCAACATCGAATCTCCTGGTTTTGATAAAAGTGTCGCAGTTACATAAAACAAAGTCTTAGTCCTTCAGAAATGCACACTAAAGCACAGGTGGATTTTTTTAATGAAAAAGTGTACCTGGCCTTCTTCCGGAGTAACTTCTGGGACTCGGGGTAATGCACCAAAATCTCGTTCAGGTCCTTCTTGTCCAGAATGAAGAGGTTGGTGAACCCGTGGGCCACCACGTTGGCGGTGCGGCGGTTCCCGCCCCCGACGGCCAGCAGGCTGCGGTGAGAGAGCAGGGGGCTGAGGCCCTCCGGAGGCTGCAGTTCTGATCACATTGAGTCTCCATTCCCAGCTCCACGTGGGCACTATGGCAGCCCCACACAGGTGAGAGCTCATGTCGCCTGCCTGTGTCCACAGGTGCCGGGGCTGCACCCACAGCGGTTCGCTCAGACCCACCGAGGTTCCCTGGAGGATGAGGTCCCACCCGCCCCCGGCCACCCCCTGGCCTTCCCCTCCCTTCTGCTCCCCTCTGACCTTATTTCTCCAAACACAGAGCCGGCTTTCAGCGTCACCAGCACAGACTTCCCGTCAGGGCCACCCAGCACCTGCACCTGCCCCGCCTGGATGATGTACATCTCTCGGCCTATCTCCCCCTGAGACAGAGAAGGGGGAAGTCCCTCTGTCGTCATCAAAGCGACCACAGAGGCGGTAGGACTGGGCCCAGCGAGGCACAGCTCGGTGAAACCTGCCCTGAGGCCCTGCCCTGCAGCCAACTCCTTGGGGCAAGGGAGGGGGTCTCTGTCTCCCCATCTGTGGACTGTGGGGAGGGATCACAGTGGGGGTTAGCGCGGCGGTGGAAAGGAGAGCACTAGATGTAACGGGGCAGAGGTACCGGTCCTCTGCAAATTCCCATGACACGGACCAGAAGCGAGGGCCACACGCAGTGTCTCAGACAGTAAACCGATACCTATGCCCAGCGCACACCGCATCAGGGGCGCATCAGGGGCACGGTGAGTGCCTGCTAACAACGAAAGGGCCCAGCACCTAGGCCACGTGAGTCTGGGCCTGGCCCTGTCCTAAGGGCTGGATGTAGCCGAGCCTGCCTGCTCCTCAGCAGCCCCCCAAGGCAGCAACTCTTCCCCCAGGTCACAAAACCATCCACGGGCAGAGCCAGGATTCAAACCCAGACAGTCTGGTTCCAGGTCCACGGTTGTTGCGGGTCGGACTGTGCCGTCCCTTCCCCCAAATTCATCCTAACCTTCGGTACCTCGGAACGTGGCCTTATTTGGGAATAGGTTCTCCGCAGGTGATATTAAATTAAGATGAGGTCATATTGGAGTTGGGGGCACCTAGTCCAATATGACCGATGTCCTTCTAAAAGGCACATTCAGACGCACAGACAGGCATAGAAGGAAGGCAACGTGGAGAGACACAGGCAGGAAACAGCCACCGACAAGCCGAGGGGAGAAGCCTTCACTCACAGTGCTTGGGATGAACAACCCCACTGACACCTGGGCTTGCACTTCCGGCCCCCAGAACCGTGACACACACGTTTCTGTTCTTTAAGCCCCCAGGTCTGTGGTGCTTAGCAGCTGTAGCAAACAAATACAATGGCCTTCGTCCCAAATTGAACCAAATGAATGAAGGAAGGAATGAGTGAATGAACAGCTTGCTTCGGACCGCAATCAGAAATTCCCAGCCTGCCGCACACCTTCCTCTTCCGGCGGCCTCACAGGCTTCTGCCCTGGTCCACTACCTGTCAGTCCCACCTGCCCTGTTTACAGGGAGGAAGACCAAGGACAGGTAAGCCGATACACTGAGTCATTTGACAGATGTCTCCTGGGTATGCCACACCCGCACGACCTTCTTAACAAAAAGGAAGTGTTGTTTCCCCGTTTCTGTGTCCAACTTGACAAGGGGCTGAAGTGTATGTGGGAGGGGTTCATGAGCTCACCCTCACCTCGGTAACCAGCCCAGGGGTGGCCTGGGATGTCTCAGTAAAATCATTGCAAAGCAAAACCAGGCAGCAGAGGGCGCCCTTCACATGTGCTCACCAAGTGCTCACTTAGACTTACAACTGCAAACTTTCCAACCTGATTCACTTTTTCTCATCTGAAGCAAATTCTCTGTCACCCACAAGGATGACAGCAGTTGATCTGTGCCAGGCACAGTGCCAAACTCTGCGTGCACGTCAGATTCAAGTGGCACAACAAACCTGGGAGGAAGGTACTCTCAGTAGTCTACTTCACCCCTGAGAAGAGAGAAACTCAGAGAGGGCCAGCCACTTCCCCAACGGTGCACAGCTAGGGAGCAGCTCCAGTGCCAGACAAACGCACCCAAACCCCTCTTGGTCTCTAAGGCTGCAGCTTTAATTCACAGCCATATATAACACACTCCCCCCAGCTCTCTGTTTCCAGAAATTACTAAAGCTAAAGCATACAGCTTAAGAACAGGGAGCTTCTTGGGCTGGGGGTTTCTGAGTGTCACAGGGGTTGCTTGGGCAGTGTTTTTACCCCTATATACACACCAGCCTTATTAACAGCTCTGTAACGAGAGGCCTGAAATCTGATTCCTGTTCTCTCACTATTGATCACTCACTCCGAGTGACCTTGGTTTCACCTTGAATCCCAAAGAGTGGGACCAGAAGGGCCCTAGACACTGTTTAACCCCAGGATTCAAACCCAAATGTTTTCCAGGATCAAGCAGGTGATGTAAAGGAGCGAAGGCAGCCTGGTGGGAGGCAGTGTGGGAGTGGTGGGGCTTGTGGCTCAGGAGTGAGGACGAAGTCTCCCTGGAGGGGCAGCCCCTTCTCCATCCTGGTCGACTCTTGCTACTGGGGAAACTAGGGCTCTGTCAGTGCTAGCAGATGTTCTGTTTTCAGCCAGAAATCTGGATTCTTATGTAAAACTTTCCATTCTTAAGGTTGGAGACTAATTCAACCTTTTTTTTTTCTTTTTTTCAGATTAGAGAAAAAAAGAACCACATTTATGCAAGGGCCAGGGTTTGCAGCCATCCCTCCAGCCCCGTCCCCGGCAGCTGGTGGGCAGCCAATCCCAGGCCACTCTGCGGCTGCCTCGGGCATCTCACCTTCTTGCACACGTAGTCGTTGGGCAGGTAGACAACAGAGCGCAGCCGCTTCAGCATGTCAAAGATCATCTGTCGGTCACAGCCCTGTCCCGGGGAGGAGCAGAAAGGACTCCCCATTAAGTGGAAGGCGTGGACGCGGGCCTGCCAAAGCCCCGGGGGTGAGGGCGCTGGACGGGTGGTACCTGGAAGAGCGCCACTTTGCTGACGATGTCGTAGTTCACATCAATGGCAAGGTCCAGCCGCATCTTGTCTGGAAGCTGCACCATCAGCTCTGACTCATCTGCACAGGAGACCCTGGCAACAGTCAGAGGCAGAGCAGACTCCTCCCCAACGTGTGGCTGAGTCTGCACTGCACCTGACCCCGCCATACAGCTTCTGTGTCACCTGGATTGGGAGCGCACCCTCTCTCGCCTTTGCAGACGCCACTCCCTTGGGTACACTTTCCTGGTTAACTTCTACTCATTCTTCAAAAATCAGAACTAACATCACCTCCTCCAGGAAGTCTTCCAAGACCTCCCACCAGCTATGATGTTATCAGTCCCTGTGCTGTAGCACACATCACACGCCCTATTGCAATTGTTTCTTTGTGATGTATCTTCCCCCCCACACTCTTACAACAACATGAGCGAGAACTAAAGTACTTCCAGCACTGTTTTTATAGAATGCTTTATGAAGACGATTTTATTAATTCCTCCCAGCAACCCAAGAGGTGCTCACTATCATAGCTCTCACTTTACAGACGAGGAAGGGGAGGCTCAGGAAAGCAGTGACTTGCAATGGCCATGCAGCCCAGGGGGTGGACTCAGGGTCCCACCCTGGGGGGGGTGTGGTTCCATAACCTGTCCCAGGACAGGAAGGGCTGGGTCTGTTTTGTCCACTGTGAGGTCTGTGGTGCCCAGCAGAGAGCCAGGCGTGGCATGAATGTTGGCCTCTGGAGACAGGAAATGCCCGGGTCGACCCCAATGCCCCTCCCACTACGCTACAACGACATATGAGCCGGAGGTCTGAGCGGGCCTGGGCGGGGCGGGGCCCTCTCTGGAGCTCAGTGCACACCGTCACCAGAAGAGAATGAGGTAAGGAGGTGAACGTGCCTGGTAGAGTGTAAAGTTATGTGCTTTAGCAACGGTCAGTGATGAAGACCTAACACTCACTGTCCACAGGCTTGCCCACACCCCCAGCTCAGGAGACCTTGGGGCTGAGGCGTGGCTTCTCTGAGACCAGAGGGAACCCCGCGGAGGCAATGGGGCCCTTCCATTTGGGCTCAGGGAGCTGGGGGGCGCCAAGGCACAGTGTCGGTGACCTTTGGGCTTTTCAGAGACATCCAAAATGACATTTAGGCTCTGAGAACAAAATCACTAGCTCCCAAAGATAAAAAAAGAAACTGGGAAATTTTAACCAATTCACATGTAATTAGTATAGTCTGATTTCAGTAAAGGTTCCATTTAGAAACTGGGAAAACTTCACTACGCCTGGAAATGATTTTCAGGTAAGATTCTTTCACTTTGTAAGAATTACTGAGCGCACTCCATCATGGGCAGGAAAGCAGAAAGAATAGTGAATTAAATAAACTGTAGCCAAGGAATTTCAGAAGCAAAGTACCAAGTCAACAAGTCAGCAAGAATCTTACCCAGCATGCCTTGGGAGTGCCAGGTGTACTCGTACCAGGTCTTGACGCGGTTCTGCACAGTCCTGGGGATCTTGTAGAAGTTCATGTACTTCACCGTGCTGTCCATGCAGCTGCGGTAGTAGGTCTGCCCCGCAGTGGCGGCTCCCACCACGTCTCTCATCTGGGGGCAAAGGCGAGGTCAAGCAAGCTGCTGGGTCAGAGCGGGGCCCTCACCTGAGCTTTGGGGGCCTCCATCATGGGCAGGTTTACTTCACACAGAGCAGGGGTGAGGGGAGCTCGAGGTAGTGGGGGAGACCAGAGAGAGGCGGACCCGTGTCCATGCACAGAGAAGGTTTTGCTGGCCGGCGGAAGTTCTGTCTCCAGCGAGGACAAAGGTGGGAGTGAAGGGGCAAGGCTGCTGGCCCCTCGGTGACCTCAGGTCCCTGGGGAATGCCTGGCCAGGCTGGGCTGACTCTGGTACAACATGGCCCCTTTGCGCGAGAGGCCACACTGGGGGAAATGTGCCCTGTGTACTGCTCAGGGAAGGGCCCCTCGAAGGTAACTCTAAGGACCGCTGATTGCCCCCTCCTGTGCTGGCTGGAATATGAGCTGTGCCCCCAGCCCACTAGGAACCTCCAGGGGTTCCTCTCCAAGGGAACAACCCAGATCCTCAGCCTTGGTGGAAAGCCATTCAGCTCAGCCCTCTGAGACACCCCACAGGAAGTGATGTTTCAAATGGAAGGCCCTCACAAAGAGAATGGGACTCACCCCCACACACACACACACACTCCCAACCCAGGGGGCCCCAGAGCTCCAGGCTCCTACGTCCAGGGCTCTTTTCCGAGCTCGGGCTAAAAGGTACGGGTGCAGATGGGGACACTTCTGTCAGCAAGGGAGAGAGGCCCTGCAGACAGGTGGTGGGAAGCCAGTCTAGTGGCCCAGCTACCTGTCCGATCATCACAGAGAAAGCAAAGACGCCTGTGAAGTAGTTGAGCAGCTGGAAGACAATCTCAAACAGTGTCTTGGGGTCGGGCAGCCCGCCAATGGTGATGAGGGTCTTCACAGCCCAGTAGTAACAACGAATGTAACTAGGGAGGGAAGAGGAGGGGAGCACAGTCATCACAGGCCCCACCCGCCGACCCTGGGGGCCTGGGTCTCACAGGTGAGCACTGTCCGGGAAAGAAACCCTGTACAGCTTCGATGTCTGAGATGGACAACCTCCTGGCCCGCACGGCCCTCTGCAGTCCGTGCAGCACGGCCGCAGCTGCTGGCTGGCTTGTCCTGGCTCTGCCCCAACCCTGCAGAGACATGGGCTCATCCCCATTTACAGATATGGAAACGGAGGCCCCAGAAGATGGACAGGAAGAGCTGGCGGGAGGACAGACCAGGCGCCTCCGACTCCCGGTGCCCAGAATCCCTCCATTTCCCTCCATGTTCTGTCGATTTCCAGTCTTTCCTTGACGATCTGGTCACGCTGGTTCATGGAAAGCTGAGCCCCATCAGAGTCAGAATACATCTCGAGGACCCCCTTTTCTGACCCTCTCCCTTGCCCACCCATTTTCCAGGTAGTAAAGCTGAGGCCCTGAAAGGAAAAGGGAATGCTCACGGTCACTGACTCTCAAGTTCCAGAGGTGGGAATAGAGCCCAGGGTGCCACCTGCTTCTTGGAACTGTCACCCCGCCATCTCTAACCCTGTGACGCACGTGTGGGAACCACTGGGAAGAGAGGTATGGGGGATGGGTTCCATGGTGGGAGCACAGGCACAGGCCAAGCCCCGAGTTTGCCTGATTATCACAAAGCAGCAAGAGTCCCTCATACGCCGGTCCACACCCCTACCCTGCGCCGTGCTAGGGGTCAGGGGCACTCCCCGCCGGCCTTCCTGTGCCCTCCTGTCCTCCCACGGGGGCACATGGGAGCCGTCCAGGGCCTGCCCCGGCTCCGGTGTCCTGCGACACCCATGATTCCAGGGGCTCTGCTTACCTCCAAAATCTAGAATGTCACTCAGCTGTCAAGCCATCCTGAGAATGACCCCCAGTCGGTCCTCCCTGGGCCCCTCCCACCAGGTGTTCACGCAGCATCACAGTCAGAGCATGGGCTCCAGGGCCAGACTGCCTGGGCTCTGCCACCTTCTAGCTGCATAGCCTGGGTAGGTGACAAAATCCCAGTTGGCCTCAGCATCCTTCTCCCAAAGTGGGCGTGGCAGTAGAAACCACCCTTTGCAGGTGACATTAGGACAGAATGAGGGGCTAGAGCACCTGGACCAGGTGGGCTCTCGCTAAATGTCAGCTGTCAGAGCCTTCGGTGGCTGGTACCTGTCATGTGTCTGCAGTGGGAACAAGACGCCCCTCAAGAAGCTCACCATCCAGCAGGGACAGGCAAGCAAATGTGTCACGAGATGGGTGGAGGGAGGGGAAAGAAGAGGTTGTTGGGAACTGTAAGAGAGGGGTCTCTGTTCCTGACCAGCTTGGAGGCCCGGGGCAGGGCCTCAGACCTGGCCCCTCACATGCTGCCCCTTAACACCTGCTGCCTGGAAAAATAGCAGGACAACACAGGCCTGCCCTGCTAAGTCCCATGTCATACAAGCCCTGGTCACCAGGGGGCGCATGAAACAGCCCTTCATGGGACCCAGCTGCTGGGCCAACAGAAGGAAAAATAGAAGTGGTATCCACAAACCCCAGGCTTTCCCCAAGCCCTTCCTGGTGGGAGGAATCTTCCTCTGGCGCCGCACATCTTAGGGGACTCCCTGAAGTCCTTGTCTTCCACGCTACTGGCTCTGCAGGGACCCCTGCGTGCCCCAGGCTGAGCAGACGCAGGATGAAGGACCCAGATGTGTAGGAACTTAGGTCCTTAAGCCCCGGGCCACAGCAGGCACTTGGCAGATGGTTGCTACTTTTGAAATTATTATTATTATTATTATTATTATCATCATCCACGGTATTGGGCTTCTAGAGGAACTGTCCTTCACTGCTTGTGCTTTGGGCATATATCGGGGTTCCCTGTAGGATTTCAGTTGGGAAAGTTTAGTGTTGCCAAGAAAGGCTGCCCCTCCCCCACTCAGCATCAAGGGCCCTGCAGGGAAAAATCCCAGACAGGACAGCCATCCCCAGGTCTCCCCCTCTGCTGGCCACTCCTCCCCAGGCCTGCACTCCAGGCCCAGCCCCAGGGCGCAGGTCCTTAGCTCACTGGGGCACAGACCCCTCTGAGAACCATGAGAAAGGCCAGTAGGCCCCGCACATATTAGCTGCCCTTGCACCCCAAGCACTGGGTAGCTGGTGTGGCTAGTGGCCACAGTACTGGACAGCAAAGGTCTAGAAGGTGAGGTTGGAACCACCCAGGTGGGGAGGGTGCTCGGCAACCTGGCCACGGCTCCCTCCCCAGGTAAGTCCACACATCCCCACCTCCTGCGACACAAGAGTGCACCCAGCTCCTTAACGCCATCATTCTGAACTCCACACCTTTCTTCAGGTTGCTCCCTCCCGCAGGGGTTCTCTGCCCTTCTCTCCACCTGCCAAGGCCAAGATCAAACTTGACCTTTCACTACTGACCATCCCATGCCAACTCATCAGCACCGGGCAGGTGATGTGACATTTAAGGCTCTGTGGCCACGTCTCCTGGGTTCAAAACCCGGCTCCCTAACTTAACAGCTAGGCGACCCTGGGAAGTCACTGCACATCTGTGACCGCGTCTGTAAAATGGGCTGATAACAGTGCCTCTCTCAGTGATTGTTGGGAGGATTAAGTGAGTGACTTTGTGAGGTGCCTAGAACAGGGCTGGTACCTTGTAACCGTTCTCCAGAACCTGCTGCTGTTATTGTTGTTGTTACTATTATTAGCATGGCCATCGCCACTGCCTTCACCGTAATCATTTGACTATGTATGGCAGCTCTCTAGGTTGGCAAGTACCTTCCACCTTATGGGCCAGCCCCTCCGAGGCCAGTGATGGCCGGGAGCTGTGCTGACGTTTCTCTGGCCTCCTTCCCTCCCCGCAGAGCCCTTGGGGTGGATGGGCAGGCACCCGTGTGGTGGACGTGCCAGCTCTCCTAGACACTGGGATGCTGAATGGATCTTTCTAGCAGGTCTTGTTCGTGCCCGTGCCCCTCTCTGCCTGGCACGCAGCAGGTGCTCAGGAAATGTTAGCTTCGGGAGGATTCGAAGACCTGGCCCTTCAACCTTCCATGTTGGAGGTTCCTCGGGGTCAAGGAGGCCTCGACAAGGAGCAGCAGTGGGACTTCCGTATGGAGTCCTTGTGCATGGGTGACAGCCCCACGAGGAAGGCGGCGGCTCACCTGTTTCCCACGCCGTCATAGACCCAGTGGGTGGAGCCGATGCCCTGGTAGGTCGACGCCCAGTAATACAGACATGAGTTCAGGTGCAAACTGTAGAGCAAGTAGGCAGTGGTCCTGATAACCCTGCAGACGAGGGAAGGGCACAAACACAGCAGCTGGAAGGGTGGCTGTGACACCTCGCTCAGGGCTGGGGACGCAAGGAACAAGCCCGTCCTCACCTCTCCCAACGCCCGCCCCACAGATGTGCCTTGTTGGAGCCGCATGGCCCTGCCCAATGCCTGGTGGGGTGGAAACTGGCCAGTGGAACGGCACTGGCTGGACTGAGCCAATCAGATGCTCTTTGGAGACTGTGCTAGTTAGGGATGGTGGCACTTGAACAGCATTGTCAGGGCTGGGGACTGGGTGGGCACAGAGCTGCTTTGTACAGACAGTCCCAGGGCAGTGCGTCCATGGGGAGGGACAGAGAAGGGACAATGTGTGCCGAAGTGCCAACCCATGAGAGAGGAGGAGAGGCCTTGTTCTCGAGCACGGCCTGGCTGGTCTCGCGATGCACCCTTGGACACCCTCCACCCCTGTGTGTGAGCGGCTGGGGCGGGGGTTCAGTGCCCTGAGCTGAAACCAAACAGGCGCAGCTCCCTGGACAATGGCGAGCCATGCGCGCTGCTGACCTAGGTGCGCCCTTCTTACAATTGGGGGAAATGGGACATTCCTGCTTCTCTAAAAAACAAACATCCCTCAGCGAAGGGCCAGGAAGAGGCCTGGCTTCCGGCGGCAGCGGGGGAGACCTGCACGGCCGGGGGAAGCAATGGAGGTGGAGGATGCCGCCTGTGTGGGTGTGCGCGCAGGCGTAGGGGTCTCACCTGTAAACGTAGGCTTTGCTGAGGATCGATTCCAGGCGGCTGTTAAACTCGAAGAAGGCCAAGTACTGAGAGGAAAAGCAAGGCGTCAGGGCAGCCCATGTCTGGGGGGGGCACCTTAGCCTGTACCCCACAGGGCCAAGACTGGGCTCTTTCTAACACCCCCACTGGGAGGAGACCCGGCGGGAGGGACATTCGATCCTTAGCCCTTGGAACAGTCAGGGCTGGAAATTCCATTGACTAACCCCATGGCCCCTCTCCCTTTGGCAGTTACAGGTAACGAAGTCTTCACAGTCTGCATACAACTCCAGGGGACTCCCAGGGCCTCTAAATCCGATCCTGAAACCTCTGGGGGGTACCTGTGTCCCAGGTTTACCCGTGACACTGTTTTCAATGTTTACTTAGAGAGAAAACAATTTCACGAAGGAGCAGCGTCCCTCACACTCCTCACTTACACACTTCCAGGCTCTTCTGTATCAATGAGCCGCCTTCCCTGCCTAGCACCTTTGGGGACTGCGCTTTACAGGTGACCAAGGTGGGGTGGGTGCCGGCCCCTGTGCAGTCAAAACTCCACTGCAAGTTTTGACTCCCCGAAAACTTAACTGCTAATAGCCTGCTGTGACAGGAAGCCTTACTGATAACCAGTCAATTAATGCATGTTTTGTATGTTATGTGTATTATACACTGTATTCCTACAATAAAGTAAGAAAAGAAATGTCATTAAGCAAATCGTAAGGAAGGTATGTTTATAGCACTCTATGCGTCTGTGAAAAAAACCTGCATGTCAGTGGACTGCGCAGTTCAGACCCACGCTGTTCAAGGTTAGCCACGTGCTTGTGCGTGTGTGTGTGTGTATAAAACCTTCGTATGTTTTCACATGTGAGGCATGCATAACCATCCTCCGTTTGCAGAGAGAAGACAGGCACTGTGGCAAGCCCAGTAGCTTGCCCAGAGCGCCCAGGAGGTACGTGGCCGAGCCAGGGCTCGAACCCAGACTGGACTCACACTGCCGGCTCGTTCCACGCCGCCACACTGCCTGTCCAGGGGTGGGGTCGGGGGACGGCCCTCCCTGATCCCCAGTGCTGCTCAGGGCGGACTCAGATGCCAATGCCCGTGTAGATGGGGAGCCCCTGGCCTTACCTTCAGACAGCGGGGCAAACGCAGGAGGGGGTTCACACCAAACTTCAAGTACAGGAAGTCCAGGGGCAGCAGGCAGAGCAAGTCCATCTGAAACCCCAGGGGGACACCATACTGTGTAAAACGGGAAACCCCCAGGGTTGTGGGGTGGGGTGAGTGGGGACCTCTACCTGCGATGGACAGAGGAGCCCCCGATATCCCGGAAGGGCCTAAAGTGAAGCAGGAGACACCCCTCCCACAGGCCTCAGTCTGGCTGCCCGGCCAGTGCTCATCCTGGGGCAACCACGTCCTGCCGGCCCCAAAGCCCCCGGGGTCCCCGGAGACACCACTTTTCGAGAACCACAGACACTCGCATCACCAGCACACACCTTGAAGCGGGGAGACTTCAGGTAGTTATTCCGCATCTCCTTCTTGTCTGTCTGGAAGAAAAAGGAATAGTGACCATGAAATGGCCTGAGAGCTTAATAACCCCTGACCCGAGCGGAGCAGTGATGGAAATCTGCAGACCCTCCAACTTCCCATCAGAGCTGTAGCCCCGCAGGCGAGGAGGAGCCCCCAGCCCCAGCCCCCAGCCAGGAGGGAGCTGTCCAAGGTCGCCCAGCGAGATTAAGGCGAGGCTACTGAGCCCATCTGCTCAGCACAGTGGTCTCCCCTGGGCCATTCGCAACCTTGTTGACGGAGGAGCTGGCAATGGCTCTGGTCAGACCAGCAAAGAGGTTGCCCGGCGAATGCTTTTTGTTCTAAAAGCACAACCTCAGCTTGTCTGCACACACAGAGCGGAGTTTCGAAAAGACCTGCACAGGGACACAGGGACTCTGCCTCCTGCTTCTGCCAAGTCGCCATCAGGACTTCAGTCCGCTCCCCAGTAGTGAGGCCCACACCACCAGAGCCCAGGGTCCCAAAGTGGCCCGAGTGGTGCGCCCTCTGCAGGACCCCCAGGAATGCCAACTGCCAGCAGTCAGCTGTGCTGAGCACGCTACACACACGGTCTCAGTGGATCCTTGGAGCAATGCCACAAGGTGGGGACAGTTACTGTGGGCACTGGGGCTCGGAGAGGGGGCACAGCTAGTGGAGGCAGAGCTGGGGCTTGAACCAGGTCCACCTGCACTGAAGGCCACTCTCCAGACCCCTTCTCCATCTCTGACTCCGTCAGGTGGTCCAGGAGCAGCTCTGCCCATGAGCGATATCTGACTATGATAGAGGTGTGTGACCCAGGCGGCCATGGCGCTGCACAAGCAGGGGCAGATGTTCCCCAGGTTCCCTTGTTCGTCTCTCTTGTCCTCAACACAAGTGTCAGGGGTGAGTCCCCCGAAGGCTCTGGCTGCAGAGTCTGCCCCCAGCCACCCGCCCCACCTGCCTGGCACTCACAATGATGTCCCCTCCTTTGACAAACTGCAGGCGCATCTGGAACACGGTGATGTCCAGGAAGTAGATGAAGTCGCACAGGTAATCCATCAGCAGCCAGAGGTGGAGGTTGCCCGGGGTCTGGTAGGGGAAGGCCCACCGCACGGGGATCAGCCAGCAGTTCCAGTTCCAGGCCAGCACCACGAAGAACAGCCACAGGATGTACATCAGGTCTGCAGCGGGAGAGATGGGCGCAGGCGGAGCCTCGGCCGGGCAGGGCTCCTGGCATCTGCCCCTCCCTCCCAGCACTACACCTGACGCTGCTGTAACTTGGACGGAGTGAAACCAGCTCGGATTACAAATAAACCACCGAGAGGCCCTAATAAAAGAAGTGCCTGGAGGAGGAGAGGGCATGGGGGCATTACCGGATAATATACAGCTAACCAGAGACATCTTTGCTTTCATTCTCATTGAAATTTTTCCAAAAATCTGTCCCCTGCCTTAGTAAGTGCATGATGGTTAAGTGACGCAGAGAAGATGGACAGACGGACAGATGGATGGATGGATGGATACCACAGGTCACCTGATCATTGTAGAGACCCAGCGCACACCGGGGTAGGAGGTCTGTCCCCCAAACGACTGCTCACGTGACCTTGGGAAAGTCCCTCTGTGGCACCTGCCCTGCCCTCCTCACAGAAGATGACTCTTTGTAAATGATCAAGAGCCGTGAGCATGTGCAGGGTCGTTGTTCCCGAGGACTATAAAGTTGGCTAAACAGGAGGCAAGAGGGAATTCACTTTGGAATCTAGGGGTGTCCGGCCTTTTGGCATCTCTGCGCCGCACTGGAAGAAGAAGGGTCGTCTTGGGGCACACGTTAAATACACTGTGACAGGTCATCACAAAAGAATCTCATGGTGATTTAAGTAGATTTACAAGTTTGTGTAGGGCTGCACTCACGGCCTTCCTGGGCCTCACGTGGCCCGCAGGCCGGAGGTTGGACACCCCTGCGAGGTGCTGGGAGAACTTCTTCCTGTGTCTGCCCTGAACAGCACCTCCAGGGAGTGAGCAAGAGTGGAGCAGAAAGACTCAGCCAGGAGTCAGGAGTCCTAGTCTGCCGCTAACGAGTCGTGTATTCAGGCCAATTAACTCCCCCGTGCCTCAGTTTCCTTGTCTGTAAGATGGGTATGCTCTTGTGTTCCTATTCCAGGGATTTTTGTGTTTGTTGGTTTTGGGGTCATAAACCTTGGATGTCCACAGCCTCCCAGCCCACCTCTGTCAGAGCCCCCCGACTCCCCTCCCGGCCTCCCACCACCTCATGTTACATGGGACTCACTGGTCAGCGGGTCGATGCTCTTGGGGAACTGGTACTTCTTCCAGGGCCGGCGTTTGAACTTGCAGCAGAGCATGTCACAATAGTGCTCCTCCTCCACCTGCCCCGCGGGCTTTGTGTCAGGGGCCGGGTCCGGGGTTTTCTTGGCAGGAGCTACGGGATGACACAGGTGACCACCTAACCCAGCCCCGAGGCTCAGGTGGAGGACGCAGAGCGAAGGCTCCCAACGGCAGACCCTGGAACTGGAGCTGAGGGGACCCTGGCACCATCCCAGAGGCTGCTACAAGCTCCGTGGGCAGAAACCACGGCCCTCTCCTGGAGCACGCCCTCCAGCCCCCTCTCTTACAGGGACCTGGGCGCCCAGCCACAAGCTCCCACCAGCTCCTGATCGGAAACTGCCGCTGGGCAACCTGGATGTTTCCGCTGAGATCCTGCCTGTGTGTCCGTGTTTGGGCCCCTGTGGTTCCCTGCGGGGCCGGGAGCACCTCGTACCCAGGGCTTCCACCACCCAGGGTCAGAGGTCAGGGCAGTATTGCTCGAGATTTCTCAGAGCAGCTGCTTCACCTCTCAACCAAGACCCCAGATGGGATCACAGCCTTCCTCCGCATCCGTGGCGATGCTGGTGACCTGGAGACTGGCTCTTCTAGGTTCAACACGGCTATGTTTCTGGCTTTAGGATTGAGAAGTCGGGCCCTGCTGGGTTCATGGCTGTCACCACGAGTTCTAAGGCACAGTCCCCCTCTGGGAAGACCTAGGAGCCTTGCTCCCTCCCCCCAGACAACTGGCACCTTGAAAGTAGAAAATTTTATGTAGCCCCGTAAGAACATTGCAACTGAGGCATCCCCAAACCACGACTGCCTTACACCACCTGAGTGTAAGGCCATGAGGTGTGTCCCAAGGTGGGCCGCCTGCCTGCCTGCCTGCCTGTCAGGGGGGAAGGCAGAAGGTCAACGAGGGTACGTGCCCTGTGGGGCGGGGAGCCAAGTATAACCAGATCATTGGTCAGAACTTTGACCTTCTTCTCTCCCCTGGGTGAACTTTTGCACAGAGGACCCCAAAATCCAGACAGTGGGGACCAGGGCTTCTCTCAAACATTCCAGTCACTTTGGGGGACCACCCTCCCCAAGAGTTGACGGGGGGGGGGACCATCCCCAGCTGTGGGCTCACAGGGCTTGGGGCTCTCCTCGTCGGAGGTGACATCCGGGTCGATGAGCTTCTCCTTCACCTTCTCCGTCCGCTCCTTGAAGAGCTTCACTAGCTCCTGGAGCCGGTCATTGATGATGGCGCTGTTCTGGCTGGCTGTGGAGGACGCACGGTCCTGGCCACTGTGGAGACACCGCCCGGGGCTGAGCGGGCTGAGTGGGAAGGGGTCCTGCGCCCCCCCCCCCCCGGCGAGAGCTCAGTCCCACCCGGCCTGCAGGAGGTGAAGCCTGCCCCAGCTTCCTCTGGAAATCAGAAACATCAAACCCACTTCATTAGCGGGAAGCTCACCCCGGGGTATAACGCCCAGGGGCCCAGCTTTTAGAAAATGCACTAGGCAGGCCCTGATCCAGACGGGCCGCTCTGAACAACCTCTGATTCCACCTGTGATGCGGGGGGAGCTCTGTTCAGGGCTGTCAGTCCCTGTGCGGGGCTCACATGAGACCGTGTCTGACACGGATCTGAGCAAGACGGGCTGACTGTTCAGGCTTCAGAAACAGCTGGTGGTGAAAACACACAGTGCAGCTGCATTATACACCCTTTTCACTTGCAGGCATTTAAACTATGAACTCACAGCCAGAGAAAGAGGCAGAATGAGTGAATGAACAAACGAGTGTCATTCCACTGAGCGTGTGTCAAGTGACTGGGGCGAGCTGACGTGGGCCACGTCAGTCAGCTCCCCTCGGAGTGGCTCACTGCATTCGCCTCACTGAGCTGCTGTGACACCAGTGTCCTCAGACCTGGTTTCCCCCCCCCCCCCCCCATATGTCAAGGCACCAAGCTCAAGCCGGCCACTCCTCCTGGGCTGGGCTGAGGAAGCCAGACCGGGAACAGCCAGCGTGGGACCCCAAATGAGAGACTGAACGCCGGTGTGGAGGAGACCCCAGCTGCTGGCCGACAGCCAGGCTTCCCGTGGGGATGGGGAGGGGTCGCTGCGGTGCAGACGCCCAGCCAGAGAGCACACTCCCCAGGCGTGGCCATGGGAGATGAGGAGGAGCATCGGGTACAACCTAAGGCCTCCTCGTTAGAGAATAGCCCGCATCCTCCCTGTCCAGTGGTGACTGGCGGGACCCTGGGAGCCACTACCGGCTGGGCCCCTAAAGGACTGCACGGAGCAGAGCCTTCTAATGACCTGAAGCAGGCAACTAGTGACAGGACTATGACACCTGAGACATCTTGTTCCTTAAGCCGCTGAATCTTTGGGTCTATATGTTACAGCGGCTTATGCTACCTAGCTAACACATGGTAGGCTTCTAAAGTGCTTTTGGACCTTTTTAAAAAATATTATTTATTTATTTATTTATTTATTTAGAGAGAGGGGAAGGAGAGAGTGGGAAAGAAACACCAGTGTGTGATTGCCTCTCATATGTCCCCCACTGGGGACCTGGCCTGCAACCCAGGCATGTGCCCTGACTGGGAATCAAACAGGTGACCCTTTGCTTCACAGGCCTGTGTTCAGTCTACTGAGCTACACCAGTCAGGGAGTTTCTGACCTTTTTAAGAGTTTTCAAGGGTAATTTTTATTATTATGCCTGACTTCTGCCTTATTATCCGATACTAATCCCTGCCTAAATCCCCACCCTACTGCCTAAGATGTGAACCACTGGAATACTGGTAAGTTTGGGGGTGGGGAGGTTCTACTTTTTTAATTACTCTGAAGTCTCCACAACTCTGATAAACTCCAAAAATTATGGATAGAAAAAAAAAACCTGGAAGAAAAGCCCGGTGACTCCTATGGCTACTCCAGGAGCTACGGCTGGGAGGGGATTCACCATCCACCAGGCTAAGGCCGCAGGAAAACATCTCCCGCTACCTGTCCCACCTTGGGGTGGCTGGATGTGAAAGACACAGGTCCCATTGCCAACACAGCTGCCTCCAACATCGTCCTACAGACCAGCTGCGGCTGAAACCTCTGGGAGCTAATAAAGGAGGAGTCGCCGAGGCCCGCTGTATGAGGTCCTGACCCAGCAGGCTGGGGTGGGCCTGGGCGTCTGCATTTCTCACCAGCTCCCCGGGTTGGGCTCCTCCTGGTCCTTCCTCTCCCACTGACCCTTTCAGGGGTCCAGCATCAGGAGCCAGCGTCTGCCTGAGGCTCCCCTCAGCCTCTCCTTCACAACAGATTCCCTGCACAGGGACACCTCCCTCTCTGGCTGTGGATGCAGCGGGACCCCAAGTCTGAGCCAGTTTTTCAGACTTTGCAGAACTCCCAGGCCAGCCAGAAGCAGCATGGGCAGGAAGTCAAGGGCAGAGTCTGCCTTGTGGTGGAGGGTTCTAAAAGCATCCATGGTCCTCCCCACTCAGCGCCCATCCATCCCCACCCAGCCTTCGGACTCTCTGAGACCCCAGATGTGGCCCCTACTCACTCAGTGTCCTGTGGGGTGGGGGTCTCTGACCAGGCGATCATGGGGGCCTCGGTGGGTGACAGCACCCTGAGTTCTTCAGCCTCATCGTCTTGAGAAGGCAGCCGCTTCCTGCAGGGACACAGATGGGGAAGGGGCCTTCGGCGAGGGCAGGGGCCCTGGCAGATCACCTAGAGCCAAATCCTGGGTGGGGGCAGGACAGACAATGCTGCTGCCCAGGGGCCTCACTTGCCTGCAGGGGACAAAAGGGAGAAGGGGGGGTCCTAGCTGCTCTCCAGGCCTCAGTCATCTGTTCAGTGGCCGAGCACACCAGTGATAGTGACTCGGTCCCGGGCAAACCTGAGCCAGCGTCCTGCCCTGCCTCTTACCAGTGTGTGACCTTGGCGAGTTACTTACGTTCTCTGAGCCGCCTCAGTTTCCCCTTCTGTGAAATGGGGCCAAATCTACCCAACTTAGTGAGACACTTACCTCTCAGTCAGGCCTCAGCTTAAACATCCTCTCTCTTTCCCCTTCCCAGTCCAGAGTCGCTGCCCTCCCCTGCACCCCGCACCCCTTTCTCTGGGGCCCCACCCTCTCAGCTGCTGTGAAGTCTCCGGGGCCCCCAACTACATCTGGCTAACTCTCCTGGAGGCTCAGTCCCCCTCCCTTTGCAGATGTCCCCAGCTGTGAAAGTTGGTGTCAGGGAGTCCAGTTGCTAGTTTACAAGGTGACCTGGGACAGGCCCTTCCGCACCTGGAGCTCCAGGTGCCTTATCTGAAGGACAAAGATCAAATTATTGCCCATCATCCAGTCCAAGTCCTCCACCAGGCACTGCATATGGGGCCTCTGGGGTCCCGACCAACGGCGTCCAGGTGTTACCCCACCTGGGACTCTTCCACCCTCAACCCCATGCCTCTGGATTCTACCAGCGGGGCCTCTGCAGGGACACGCTAGGAGGGCTCTGAAACTGTCCTGCTACCTTCTGCCAGCTCGCCTCAGATGGCAAAACTCATGAGTGACCACGTTCACACTCTAATTAAAGGGATGGCCACAGACATGAGAAGGCTGAGGCCGAAGTCCCACAGGGGGGACCCACACTCAGCCCTCCAGCACCCCCTCCTGAGCCTGGAGAGCACTGGCAGCTCCCCGTTAGCTTCACTTTATCAGTCACCAGGCGCTGCCCTGCACTTCACGGTTTGCCCACAGCTCGCCACAGGACCTGTCTCGGTGAGCTGGCTCGGGCCGTCCCAAACCAGCTCCACCCATGCAGCCACAAATCCACCTCAAGAGGATTAGAAACATCTGCAGCCTTGACCAGGAACCCCACCCGTGAGCAAGGAGCCCACAGACTGAGAGCAGAAGGCCAGAAAGTTCCTAGCGCCGTTATGGACAGTGGAAGGAGGGGGAGCTGGATGGCCAGTCTGGCACACAGAGCTGGAGGAGCGTCACGGGGCCATCAGAAATGAGTGCTAAGGAGCCAGGCTAGCAAATGTAAAGGGGATCAGCAAACAAAACTGATCCAAATCACTCCTTCAATTAAAAGCCCTGAAAGGCACGGGCCCATAAACAAGGTGTGGAAGAGAAAACAGTAATAAAATGCCGTCCAGTGTGTTGGGGTTGTGGATGATTATTTTTCTAGTGCTCTTTGGTGTTCCCATGGCATTATTTTATAATAAAATGGGGGCTGGAATTCAGCCTTGTCACACTCGTTGCTGCTTCTTACACACAGCTGAAGGTGGGTGGGTCAGGGCTTCCCGGGGGAGTTCATTGTCAAGCCCCACGCCAAGAATTGGGGGAACCAAGAAAGGAGGGCACAGTCCCAGTCCCAACGCCAACTTGCTGAGTGGCCTTGGGCCAGTTGTTTCCCTCTCTGGCCTCAGTCTCCTCATCTGCTTAATGGACAGGTGGCACAGTGCTGTGAAAAGCCCAAGAGAAGCATGAAACCTGCGGGTCCCTGCGGCCGACCCCGGGACCGTGAGGGTGTCGGATTTGGCAGGAGAAGGTGGCGGCAGCTCTGGTGAGGGCGGCTTGTCCTCCTTGATGAGGGGGTGGCGGTCAGCATCCGTATCTTCCACCTGCACTTCGGGGTGTTCTTTTGTGGCAGGTACTTGGGGAGAAGAAGGAAGGGACAGTCAGAGGGAGGGAGGGAAGACCAGGGCCCTCCTGTGTCCTTCAGAGAAGCCACGGAAAGCAGGTTTGGAGCAGGACTGGCAGCCACCTCCCAGTGGAACCTGCCAGGGGGCTCCATGCAGGACATGCAAGAACACGGATCCCAAGGGCCATGCAACCCCAGACGCCAGTCCAGGGCCCACAAAAAAAGCCACGAACCACAGGAGTCCCAGGAGCTCCCAGACACAGCCTGCGGCCCAGGTGTCCAAAGCCCCACCTGTGTTCCCTGGGCCTGGGGAAGCATCAAGGACCCCAGGTTGGGGTGGGGGGATCAGTACTCAGAAAGGCGTGGGAAACCCAGGGGTGCCCGAGTCCTGGGGCCAAGCCTAGCACAGCCCGGCTTGGCTGCTTCCCTTCTCTGGGCCTCAGTTTCCCCAACCTGAGGTGGGGGTGATGGTGCCTTCCCAGGCCTGAGCCGAGGGGCACATGGCCCTATTCTCTTAAAGGGCTTCAAAGGGAGACATCTGGAAGTCTCCTCCAGTCAAGGGTAACTGCCTGTCTTTGTCATGAGTATTGGTCCTCTTTGGGTGCCTATTTGGTATTTCTTTGTTTTTGTACATGCCAGAAGCCCCCCAAACCTATCAACCCAACCCCTCTCCTGAGGCCTGAGAGGCCTGGTGCCAAGTCCCACGTCCGGAGAATCTGGCCCTCCCCCTGGAGCCCGGGTGTGGCCTGTTCCCCACCCTGGGGACTTGGGACCAGGTCTGCTCCGAGGTGGAGCTCGGAGGACACTGAGGGGTGGAGGGGGTGCCCCCACACCCCAGTGCACCTGGCCATGTGACCTCCCCACAGCAGCCAGGCCCAGGCCTGAGCACCGGCCCGGCAGGGACACATCCCCCGATGGGGAAAGGGAACATCCTGAAAACACCTGTGACTTCTTTTTTGATGCCACCACGGGGAGAGCCAGCCCTCGGCAGAGTTTGGTGGAAAGAACCTAAGCAGGTGTCAGGTCTTTGGGGCATTGGTCTTACTAGGCCCCATGCTCCCAGGAGAGGAGAATGAGCAGGAATAGAGACTTTTTAAAATGTAGTAAGTGCTGCCAGACTAACAGGAGACGCCCGGGCTGTGGGAAGCAGGAGAGACCATGAGAGGAGGGGACTGCATGCTGCTTCCTGGCAGACTCGGGAAGGAAGCTGGTGGGGGCAGAGGCATGGGGGCAGCAGGGACCAGAGCCCCACCGCCCCTGACACGGTCCCGCAGAAAGCACCCACGCCTCCCCAACCAGGAGTTCGTCTCGCAGAGCCTGGGTGGGGGCGGGTGCTCCCTGACCCCTGAGTGAGACCTGCCACCTTGATGGCCCCAAGGGAGGAGGGAAACTCCTGGTGTTTGTGTTTCTCAAACAGTGGAAACTCGAATAGAAATCATATTGGTTTACATCATAGTGATTTCTAGAACAAGAACAATAGTATTAAGAATATAAGGAATAATATTTATAACTGCTTAGAGAACAATAATATTTACTGTTGGCACTTTCTGTGTGCCTGCCAGGCATTTGTTATACTAAACTTCAAGTGCTTTGCACACATTCTTTTTCCCTTCCCAGCCGCTCTACGAGGTGGCTTGCACTGTCGTCCCTGTTTTGTGGGCCCAGGCAGCCGGGCCCAGAGCTCAAACTCTACCCCGTCCTGAGGCTGGGGACCAGCACACACAGAGGCCCCGTGTAAACCCAGCTCACGGGTGCCAAGCAGCAGCACCAAGAATGCTCTCACCACGGCTGTCATTGACTTTGCCGCAGCTAAAGTCCTGTGTCTTACCACAGCCAGTTTTGCCCTCTGTCCCAGTGTGTCCCTGGGAATATTTCTCAAAGTGTGGGGCTCCCAGGGACAAGGGGGGGGGGGCACAGGGTGACTTCAGGTGGCACAGAGCAGGTGAAGGACAGCACAGATGAGAACACTGCTCTCATTCCTACCGTCTAGGTCCCAAACGGACAGAGCGGAAGTCTCAGGCTCACGCTCCTATGGCTGCAACACCTTGGTGACCCACTCCCACCCCCTTTTTTGTGGCTGGGAGAGCAGGTCTTCAGCCGGCCACCCATCTCACTACAGATCATCAACATCACTTCGTTTTCAGTGCCTTTGTGGTTATTTCTATTTATGGCAAGCCACACAGGTTTTCATTTCAATAGGCAAGACAAGTTTCCTGCTTAGGTAGATGCCATCAAATAAAAAAGCACACCCGTTGAAAGAAAAGTAGTAAGCAAATAAAACAGAGTTGGTACGGACTACAAATCCTGGAGTGATGTGTGGGGTAAAGGTCGGGGCCCCTGTGGAGTGAGCGGACTTGGGGTTCACCCGGAAGCCTGAACCTGGCCACCACCCTTGTCATGCGATGATGGTGTGCCACCTCTGCCCACTCTGTGCCCACCCCAAGTTGGGAAAAGAAGAGAAGGGCAACAGAGGGTCTCAGGGCAGGAAATGTCGGGTTCTACCTGCTGACTGATGTCAGAGGCTACCTTCGCCAGTGTCATCCAAAGATAAACAGATCAAAGGGAAAGTGGGTGGAGCTGAGTTGTGTTGGGACAAACAATGACTAGGGTGCGTCCCGAATGTCTGAGGGCTTTGGCATCAGGCAGCAACTAGCAAGCCCGAAGGCCACTGAGGGGACCATGTGGCAGTTACACAGAGCCAGGCAGGCCTGCCCTCGGCCCTGGCCCCTGAGGATACCTCCTTTCCCCCTGCCCTGCCCGCCAGCCTTGGGGCCCTCTCCTTTCCTGAGATGGAATTGCAGGGCAACAGTCCTCAGAAATGCCAGCGCCCAGCAAACTCTCGAGGTCAGAAGAGTCTGTCTGAAATGGACACCCACATTCCTCTTCTGCTTCACTCCCCTCTGCTCGTTCTCTTCCCCCACCCGCTCCCCACCCCAAGCCTCTTGGCCTGGAGATCTGAGTGACTTGTTCACACTAGGGTGTGAGTGACTACTTGTACAAAAAAAATTATGATCTTCAGAAAGCAATGTTTAACCCAAAGAAATGAACTGCTAATTGTGGAATTTTAGGTACAGAGAGAAGGGGTCTAATCTAATGACCTTCAAGTCACCACAAAGCACGATGAAAGCATAGATAGCATAGGAAGAAGGGGTGGTTTTCCATGAGCCCAACTCGTGGTCCCATACCCTGACTCCAAAAGCATGCTGGGAAATAGCCTCAGCCATGCAGAAGCACAGAGCACAGGCGCAAGCATGCTGAGTAGAAATGCTACCTAGGCGGCGGACGGAGCTCCTGGTCACCTTGGCGAAGTTGGAGTTGGACAAGGTCGTCCTCCGGGAGATGAGGACAGGGATGCGGGTGATTGGGGGGCGGTAGCTGGGCATATTCGGGAGGTGCTCCACCAGGTTTGGGGGTGCAAGCCCGAGGGTGACCTGGCCAGGTGGCTGGTCCTGGACCAGGCGACTCAGCTCCACGTCCCGGCCTGGATTAGCCATGGTGCTGGGACCAGGGGAGTCTCAGGTGGAGGCGGGACTCCGGGGACTGCAATGAGGAGCAAGGAGTTAGGGAGGTGGGGCCAACACAGACCAGCCTGGTGCCTGCCTGAGCCTGCCGCAGCCACACAGGAAGTCTGGGGCATCCCTCTTGTCCCTGGAATTCAGTGTCAAAATGCATGACCATGTTATGAGCTGATCCACCCAACAGCTCTAAGGACCAGCCCAGAGCCACCCCCGACCCTTGCACTCTCTCTTTAACCAATCACCAGGAGCATTTCCCACCCGAGACTCAAACTAAGTCAAAATCAAAGAACCTAGAACTCTCAGACCCTTAGACGCATAGGCTCAAGGCTCAGACATTCCTAGCCTTGCAGGATTTTCCATCCCAAAGACAGAAACCCTGGAGTTAATTTCACTTACAATGAAAGAAGTAAATTTTCCTAGGGCCTCAGCTCCCAAAGGGGCCACACATTGAATCGCCTGGCGATGCTGGAAATGTCTGATGCCCAGGCCCATCCCAGAGATTCTGATCTAATAGCCTGGGGTCCAGCCAAACACCAGGATTTTTTTTTTAAGTATTTGGTGATTTTTTAAAAGATTTTTAAATTTATTTTTATAGAGAGGGGAAGGGAAGGAGAAAAAGAAGGAGAGAAACATCAATGTGTGGTTGCTTCTCACTGACCCCCTACTAAGGACTTGGCCCACAGCCCAGACATGTGCCCTGGCTGGGAATCGAACTGGTGACCTTTTGTTTCACAGGCCAGCACTCAATCCACTGAACCACATCAGCCAGGGCAACACCAGCTTGTACGGCCAGGGCTCAGTGTCCAGACATCCTCAGACCCCAGACTCTGTCCCCATAGTCCCTATATGGGAGGGGACATGCTGGGTCCAGCCTAGAGACCTTAGCAGCAAGAAAAAGCTCATGGAGTCTAGATATGCCCTTAGCAAGCTCCGGTCCCAATTGTCACTGGTTACATGTTACGTCTGAGCCAAAGCCCCACTGGGTGACGGCCAAGGGAGGTATGTCCTCAGTGGAGGAGGGGCAGGGCTGGCTGAGAGCAGCTTCCCAGGCCTGCTGGTGTTCTGGGGCCTCAGTGCCATCCCCCTGGGCCCTTGGAAATACGTCAGCTGGCTGTGACAATGTGGCCCCAAGATGCAGAGGACAGTTTTGCCTGAGGATGGGACAGGTGGAGGTGTATAGGGACGGTGCAGATGGAGTGAGAGGAGGTGGGGTGCCCCCGCACCCAGGCTGGCCCCAGCCTGAAAGCACAGCCTGGACATTAACCCTCCACCCCCGCCGCATACCTACCTCCTGAGCTGGCAGCTGAGGCCTCCTCCTGAAAAAATAAAGGGGGAAACGGGAGCTGTGACCACCGTGCCCCCTCCCAGCCCTGTGCAGCCCACCTTCTGGGGCATCTGGGCAGGTGGCCTCCACCCTGTAGGGGGTGGTACATGCAGGAGCCCCAGGCCCCGCCCTGACTCATCACATATAACAAGGGGGTCTTGTCACGCAGCCCCATGTGTATGGGAATGAAGCCACCGCAGCCCTCCCGCTGGGCACTGCACTTCACAACAAATAGCTATGTGCTGTACCCAGGAAGGTGCTAGCCCTACTTTACAAAGCAGCCGTCAAGGCCCAGAGTGGGGTGGTGACTCGTCCAGGGCCACATAGCCACATGAGGTCCGGAGGCTCCCCACCCACTGCCACCTCAGGCCCTCCTAACACCATCGGACCCCTGGTATAAGCAGGGCATTGCAGCCCCCACCACCCTGCTCCCCTCTGTCCAGTGGGCACCGCACAAGATCTTGTCCCCTATAAGCAAAGGGACAAGGTCCCAGCCCCTCCCACCGAGACCAGCCCAAGCCTCACAGGGAGCCGGTGCCAGGCCTGGTGATGCTCCTACCTGGCATGAGGCCCTCTGGGTGACCGTCTTGTCTACTCCTCTCGGGTCCTTGCCGGCCTCTGACACCAGACAGCTATCCAGCAGGACGCTGTGACCCAGAGTCGGGGAGGAAAGGTCCAGGGTTAGGGGTGTCAAATGTTTCCTGATCGCTGCTAAGTGCCAGCCCTGCGCCAGGAGCTGGAGTACAAAGGTGCCTGGGAATATGTCCTCGCCCTCCCGATGCTCCCGGCACGGGGAGGAGGGCGGACTGCGTGGCCTGCTGACAGCCTCCCGGTCTGAGACGCGTGAGGGCACAAAGGGCTGTGAAGGGCATAGCCGCAATTCTGCCTGGGAAGGAGGGCTTCTAAGAGGAGGTGACCTCTGAGCTGGACCTCAAGGATGATGACCTGCCCATTGGGAATAGGTGGGGAAGGGTGTCCAGGAAGGTGGAACAGTATGTGCAAAGAAGAATGTGGAGGACAGCTAGAGGAACTGTCCCCTGGGGTAGGATCAAAGGGCACTGTATGGTGTTCAAAATACATGCCCTGCATTTCCTCTCTGAGAGTCTCCAGGCAACCTTGGTGACGATGCAGACAGGGCAGGGAGTACGAGAAAAGTGAGGCCCAGAGAGGTGAAGTGACCTGGCCGAAATCACACAGCACATTGTCACACTCCATACAAACCCTTACACACCAGCCCTGCACTTTTTCCATGCGTGGGAGCAGAGCCACACTGCAACTGCTGAAGCTCTCAGGAGTCCCTGGCCCAGGCAGCAGGCACGCATAAGTGACAGGGACTGAGGGGGATACTCCGGGGAGCAGAGAGGACTGCGGCAAATCAGAGAACCCATGCCCCCTGGGTCGGCAACCCCCCTCCATTTGGAGTGGGTGCTCAGTGGCCAGATATTCTGATTTTCTAGACAGCCTAAACTACACATTTTAAGGTGGAATCTCCTGATGCTGATAATTAATACAAATTAATCTATCTATATATTAACATGTAGATACTCTAAAGAGCCTGTGTCCAGGCTAAATTAGGGCCTTAGATACCCACATGTGACCTCTGGGTTAACATGTGACTCAGATCGGGGCTGATGTAATTTTTGTGGGTACAATTAGATCTTGCTTCTGCACAGCCCGCTCACCCCGCAGACCAGTCAGCAAGGGGCTCACGGAGGGTGACCTGCAGTGAACCTGGATTCGCCACTCTCGGCCCTCCCAAGGTTGGGGAAGGGGGCGCACAGAGGAGGCAGACCGCAGCCCCAGGCAGTTCACAGCCAGCAGCTGGGAACAGGATCAGCGGGCAACCCCGTCATCACAGCGGCTCTCCCAGGCTGCATGCCAGGCACGGTGCCCAGAACTCTGCATGCAGCGTCTTCCTGAATCCTCCCCCATGTGACCCTGGGAGGCCAGGGCTGTGACTGCCCCCATTCTGGCTTGGAAATCAGAGGCTCAGAGAGCTCAGGTGGCCTGTCCATGGTCACACAGCCTGTACAAGGCAAGTCTGGATAAAACACGGTATCTCTGATCCCAGGGCCATGCATGAAACACTCCAATGCCCGCCTCTGAGTGTCCCCATGACCCCACGCAACAGGGAGGAGTAAGGCGAGTGTCGGCAGGACCCAGAGACCCAGCTCACCTTATTTCTCTTTACTGTATGAGCATTTCCATCGTGAGGGGCCTGACCTGTGGGTGCCGTGCTCCCCACTCTGCCCAGGGAGGAAGAGTCCCTTAAAGAGACTCACTCACAGAAGCGAGGGCACATCACGACACCCGTGGGGCCGGGCACCTCAGGTTTCACGGGCCACTGCCTCCATAAAATTACATTAAAAATTACATTTTGCGACTGCACGTATGGGAAGATTCATGTGTTAATGTTATATAGTAAAACATTCCCTTCCATCTCGAATTTTAATTTTTGGTCTGATTTTAAAAGAAATTAAAACGTTCATATGGGAACTAGGCCCTCCTGGGTTCTCAGAGCCCAAAGCTCCAGGAAATGAGCTTCCCCTAGCCCGGTGAAAGGCTGCCCAGCGTCTGGATTGTTCCAGAGTCAGGCCAGGAAGGCACTGTGTGGCCGTGGGTGTTACTGGGAAGCCCTCGGGCTGTCTCAGTTTGCTCACCTGTCGAATGGGTAGGACTTGCCCCGCCCGTACAGCCCGACTTATTTCGGTGAGGTCAGAGGGCCACTGAGAGTCTCATGGAAAAGTCAGAAAAGACTCCCCATGCCAGGGGTCATTCTCGATTCGCCCTCTCTAACCACTGGTCCGCAGCTTTCCACGTCTGTGGTGCCAAGGGTCTGTTAGGAGCCAGCCCGGCCTGGGACAGAAGGCCAGCCCTGCACCTGCGGGCAGACACCCCTGTCTCTGAGCCCCCGATTGCTCACCGGGGAAATGGGGTTCACGGCAGACGCCGTAGCACAGTGCCTGGCACAGAGAACAGGTGCTCGCCAAATCACAGCTGTTTCTCGGATCGTCCTCATCATCATTATTATCAGTCCCAGTGGAGGCAGTGCTCTTCAGGGCTATGAATCACCCACGTGGGTTGGGAAACGTTTTGTGCAAACATCCCCCACTATTGAGATGCCTAACCAGCCCTACCATGGCCCCATCCGTGCCACCAGGAGCTGTTTGGGGACTTATGTGCCTAAATTCACTTTTGCCTCTGGTCAGCAGTGCCTGCCAAGAAACCCTCTTCTCCAGCCCAGAAGCAGCAAGCCATCAACTTCTGGAAGGTTCCCAAATCCCAGGGAATTCCAAGGGTCAGACGCAGAGCGCCCCTCCCAGTCCCGGGCTCTCCAAGTGAAAGGGTTAAAGGTGCAGGGAGGAGCAGCAGCAGCGGGAGCCCACTCCTCCTCCCCAAGCCACCCAGCAGGCTGTGCCCCCAAATTAAGGCCCTCACAGTCACCTTCAGCAGCCTCTTCATCCGGCACTGTAACCCCAAAAGAAGGGAGGAGGGGAGCCCTTAGGGAGAAGCAGCCACCTACTTGGGTCTTGCTGTCTGTGCCGACAAGGTCGCCCATGGTGCAGGAGTTCAGCTGGGGGCGACGGCACTCATCCCAAGCCCCCAGTCAGGGCCTGCGAGTGGAGACTTCGGAGCACCTTCCCAGCCCCGAGCCTGCAAGGCTGGCTCTGGAGTCAGTGTGGCTCGGGTGATGGATAAGCCACCAGTTCTTCCTGCCTCTAATCAGATTGAAGGGATGTGCAGGGAATTCTGCAGAAGCCCTCCCAGGAGGCCAGGTGGGGACCAAAAGTCTGCGGTTGCTAGGAAAAGCTGAGCTGCTGCCCACAGAGACCTGGTCGCTAGGTGACCATCTGCCAGCATCATCAGTAACCCCTGTGCCTCCACAAAGCTGGCTGAGAGCATCCTTTTCCAGCCAGTGACAGCCAGCCCCTGGCCCACCCTGGAACCCTCTGGCCCCGGCTCTGGGATCACACTCTCTCACCACAGAACCCCCCAACCCTGCCTGGACCCCTCCTGCCATCCAGTCTCCAGTCCAACCTCCCTTAACTCAGGTGTCCAGCTGCCCACTCCTCACCTCCCAGTTCTCCCCCCTGCATCCGTCCTTCCATCCAGTGCCTACCAATCTGCTCCCTCTTGGTGTTTTTTTAGTGAAATCTATTTGACACAACATTGTACGAAATGTCAGGTTGATTTGTCACTGTTAATACACGTTAATATAACATTTATATATTGTGGCACCTCTACCATAGTGACTCTTTTTAGTGGTTGGAATAATTAAGACAGAGTTTCTCGGCAAGTTTGATGAGTCTAACTTTTAGTGGGTTCTGATCTCCATTCTTTACCCTCTGTTTTAACTGAACTCTGGCCGCTGAGATGTTTGTGGGCGTGGGTGGAGAATCAGCCATTAACCCGCGGGGGAGCGGAATCCACCGCAGCAGCCTTGCTGGGCACAGAAGCAGCCGGGGCCACCACTGGGGGCGCTGTGCGGGAGGGAGAGGGCTCCGCGCCTCGGTTTGGTTAATTATGGGGCAGAGCTGGGAGCTTGCTGCTGCGTCCACTCGTTCATCCCTCCGTGCACTCAAACAACTCGTTCATCCCTCCGTGCACTCAAACAAACTGACGTGGTGCCATACCAGGCACATGGCAGCAGACACAATAAACAAAATCCCCCCACCTGCTCCCCGTGGAGGTTGCATTCCCATGTTTGTTTGCATGCATGTGGGGGTGGGGGTGGAGGGCAGTGGGTACTATGGATCGCAGGTCGTCGTGAGCACTGTGGGTGGGGGACCCCAGCTCCCCCAGCCTCCCTGGTCTGTGCCTAGCAGCACCAGCACAGAAGAAAGGAAAGCACCCCTGTGTGCGGCCCCACCCCAGAAGCCTGGTGCCCCTCCCTGCAACCCCACCTCCCTTGGGCACTCCTTAACCAGGGGCCTAAGTGCCTTACTCAGACTCCTCCTCCTCTTCTTCTTCCTCCTCCTCCTCATCCTCTTCATCCTCCTCCTCATCTTCTTTCTCCTCTTGAATCTGGGGAAGCTCCCTGAAATGAGTTCAGAGGCAACAGATAGGCCCTCTGCAGGGGCACCCCGAGTCCACCTCCTGCCCCCACTTTCAGTAAGATGTCCTGTGACCCCCTGAGACCATACCTGAACCCCTCAACCAAGAATCAGCTTGGGGCTCTGGCTAGTGTGGCTCAGTGGATTGAGTGTCAGCCTGTGAACCAAAGGGTCACTGGTTTGATGCCCAATCAGGGCACATGCCTGGGTTGCGGGCCATGTCCCCAGTGAGGGGACACATGAGAGGCAACCACACATGGATGTTTCTCTCCCGCTCTTTCTCCCTCCCTTCCCCTCTGTCTAAAGATAAATAAATAAAATATATTTTTTAAAGAATCAACTTGGGGACCCCCACCCGAGTAGCTCCAGGCTCTCTAGCAGCAAGGCCTCTTCACGGCCTGAGATCCTAATGGTGAATATTTAGCCCCTGATCCTCTCTGAGCCTCAGTTTCCCCATCTTTGCAATGCACTCACAGGCATGTGCAAGAGTCCTGGTTGCAGAATTATTTACGATAACAAACTTCTGAATCAGCCTCAATGCCCATTAACAGTAGCCAGGTTAAATAAGTTCTGGGTACATCCATATGATGGAATACAACACAGATGTAAAAGAAAAAAGTGCAGATGGTCTCTGTGTACTGAAGGTGGAAAGAGCTCAAGCAAAATTGCCAAGTGAATACAGCGAGGGGCAGATGGGTAGGTGCATGCGATAGGCCATGTTTCGTGCAAAAATAAAAGAGGGGAGTTTGTGCTCAGGTGGTTCCTGGAATGGTACAGAAGAACCGGGCAGCTGCTGTGCCCTGGGGAAGGGATGGGTGTCTGGGGGAAAAGGAAAGAGGGAGAGGCAGGCTTGGTTCACTCTCTAGGGCCTTGCATGCCTTTGAGGTTCTGGGCTGTGTGTCCCTTATCTTCCCAGTCTTTGTTCAGGGCCTTCTTTGGTTCCCACCTGGGCATCTCTTCCGCGGCCACGTGCTCCTCTTCATAAGCTGGAGTCACCACCTCTGAGCCCTGTGGGCTGCTGCTGCCCTCCTGATGCTCACCCTCCTCCCGGTGAGGGTCAATCTCTTCCAGCACGAGATCCAGCTCCTCTCGCCCTCCGGGCAGGATGCTGACTGCAGGGGACACAGGGTGTGGGAAGAGTGGGCCTGAGGCCCTGAGTCCCAGGGACCCCACGGGGAGCCTTGGCCCTCACCAGCTGTGCAGCGGCCCTCAGCCAACCCTGGCCACGGCACCATTATCAACAGGACCCTTAGCAACCAGATCAGTGCTGTTGTGATGGGCTGATGCCCATGATCACTCACCCTGTCTCCTTCCGTTCTCCCCCGACCCTGTTCTGCTTGAGACGGAGCTTCCATTATAGGTAGTCTTTGTTTCTCTTTGAGACCCCCTTCTTGGGGTTTGTGTGGAGCAGAAACTGCTTCTAACCACAGTGTTGCCAAAAAACCCAAGCTCGAGGCCCACCAGCCACATCCAGGTGCAGGGTGGCCTGCAATGTCCCAAAGGGATGCAGAGAGAGAGCTTACCCACAGCCTGCCTCTAGACGCCACCCACTGGTGACAGCGTACGTCATGCCCATAATCTCAGCACCTGCTTCTGGGAGTCATTTTCTCCTTGGTAAACCTAGAGGCTCCGCCCCCTGAGGGGGTCAATTCTCTGAAGGTGGACCCTCCTTCAGAGAAAAGTCTGCAATTTCCAACATTTCCCCACGTACCCTGGCCCCTGCCCATGAAAACACTGGGGCTGTGAGCCTGGCAGAAGTGCGAGCAGGGGAGACTCATCAGGAAGCTAAGCCCGCCCCCAGGCAGGAGAGAAGGGGAGAAACAGGGAATTGCCTGGACACCAGGTGTTTCCAAAAGCCCCGGGGATCTAGGTGGCCCTCGGGCCAAGCGTGAATTCCTAATGGTGACTTTAAGTGGAAGCTGGCCTCCAGTCTGACCCTGCGACTTTGGACGTCATCATTTATGATGTGGAATAATAGGTAATAATAATGACAACAGTACTAGTGCCAGGCCCCGTGCGAAGTGAATCACATGGATTAACTCAATCAGTCCTTCCATCGGCCTTTCGAAGTGGGAACAATTATTATCTCCATTTTTTTCATCTATTATATGCTATTCCCCATTCTACTGATGAGCAAACCGAGGCACAGATTAGCACCTCCCTTCATGGGGTGCTTCTCATGCACGAGGCTCGGGGCTGAACCCTTTCCAGGAGCCGCCTCGCTCCCCATGGCCGCCTCCTGGCCCCCAAAGACAGTTACCCCGCCTCACAGGGGAGCGCCTGCCCGCCCTCTGTGGAAGCCTCTGGCCCTACAAGCAGCCTTGGGGTTTGCCCAGGGGGGCTCTTCCACGTGTGGCCCCAAACTAGGTGATGGGCTGTGTCCCACGCGTCATTCTACGTTTCCCTTCAGCAATGGTGTGGGGCCTCCGCCCCGAGCAGCCGCTGGGTGCAAGTCCCTGCTGGGCATAGCGGGGGACATCCAGGGGACAGCACATCCCCTGGCCTGTGAGCTCATTAGCTTTGATGGCAGCCCTGCAGGGTGAGAAGTGTACTCTCCCATTTTACAGACTAGAGAGCCAGCTCACGGAGGCCAAGTGACGTGTCCAAAGCCACACAGGATGGCAGAGGCGGTGCCAGGTCTCCTGCGTCCTGTGTCCCTGGTGGGCTATCCCAGGTGATAAATGTGCCCCTGAGGGTCTCCCTGGCGTCCCTAAGAGTCTAGGTGTCCTTGCTTGTGTCCCTGTTTTCCTTTCACTAACCTTTTCTTTTAGGTACTATTTAGGGAGCAAGTGTTTTACAGGCGCTTCCTCCTTTCCGCTCTGTGCTGGGCCTACAAGGCCTGCCCCAAGCTGTCCCCAGTTTACAGCCAAAGATTCTGTGGTTGGGGGAGAATGGTGCCCCAGGTACCAGCTAGGAAGGGCGGGCATTCTGCCACACTGATCCTGGGGCAGGGCCTTGGTGAAGGAGCCACTGTCCCTGCCCCTGTCTCTGCAGACACATGACTCACAGCTGTCCTGGCTTATCCAGGGCCCCCCAGGTGCCCAGGTCACAGATGGGCCACTGTGGGTGCTCAAGCTCATGTGGAAACTGCTGATCCTTCTGGGGCTCACACTTCATCCCTGGAGTCCTGTATGGGCCTGCCACCACCTGCCAGCATCCTCTCTGCCAGCCTAGGATGTCGTTCAGGGCCACTGAGTGGAGTTCTGAGCCTGGCCTTGAAGCTCATCAGCGTCCTCTGGGGAAGGAGTTCCTGTTTCCAGGACTAACAGACAGGAAGCAGGGGGCACGACTTCTAGGCCAAGGCCCCCACCCGGACCCTGGGCTGCCGGCACAGCCCACAAGCCCTGGCTCAAAGCCGCCCTTCCCTCTGGCAGGCTTTGGATGCTCTGGGACACTGTGGATGGGGCCCAAAGTGCAAGGCTTGCTAAGCCTCAGTATTCTTTTTGAAGGCACTCCCCTGCTCAGCCACCTTCAGTGGCTCCCCATTGCCACAGCCTAGTCCCTTAAACATAGTCTCTAACTCTTCTAGTTTCGCCTTCTGCCTCGAGGACTTGGAATTACCTGTCCCTCTTCCTACCAGGACTACTGTTCCCTCACCGCTGGTTTGAAACCTCAGGGGTCTCATACTCGAAGGCCCGCCCAGCCGGGCAGATGGTGTATATGGGTGAAGTGGTGTACAAAGCGTGGGCCTGTTACAGCTGGTTCCGCCCAGTTTCCAAGAGAAGCCAGCCTTTTCCTATGGAAAGCCAACTGCTTTTTAGATGTTGACAACTAATTCTAATTTTTAAAATCACTCCATGCCCCAAACACAGACGTCCGTGGGCCAGCAGGGACCCAGGGCAAGCAGCTGGGGACCGTGGCTCCTCCTCCCCCCACCCCCGCGTCCCCCACACCACCGGCCACACTGAACCCACCCACTTTTCAAACCTGCACAGGCATTTTAGCCTGTCCGGAGTACTCATATCAGGCGTTCACAGGTTCAATGTGCTGATTTATGCTCTTTAATGTTAATAAAAGCGTCTGTTGCTGTCCAGTCCCCGACCCTCTGGGGGAGGGGACAAGGCCAAGCCTAAGAACCTCTTCTGGGGAAACCCATGTCCCATGGGGACACCAGCTACGTGGGGGGACCGTGCCGAGGGCTGGGCAGGTGTCCACTCAGAGACAGTCCTTCCAGGGCTTTCCCAGCCTTTCGGTGGAAATTCTCCCTCCTGTCTAGCCTTAAAGCCACCGGCTGCCCCAAGCTGACCTTCCCCTCGTTCTGGGGGAAAGGGGTCAGCCTCGGTCCCCAAGCCCAGCTCTGGGGCCATGGGAGGGACTCTGATTCCCCCTTGCTCCGCCTGGGAGCACGGGGAGGGCCAGGGGTCAGTGTTTAAGGAGCATAGGGGGTCCGTGGCCACCCCATCCCCCCGCCCCCGCAGGTCTTCTCTTCAGGACACCCTTCTTTCCTTCCATCATCTGTCCGTTTGTCCATCCGCTCTCCCAGACTCCCTTCTCCCTTATTTCAGTGGCCTCCAGCCGCTGCCACCCCTGAGACAAAGGAGAAGACAGAAGGGTGGGTGGCTAGGCGCAGGGACAGAAGGGGCGAGTGCCTGAGGGAGTGAAGGAGGGGGAGGCTGGGGGATGGGGCGGGGAGAAGGGAACCTTCATCCCCAGCCCCTCAGGATCACCCTGTCTACTGGGTCAGATAGTGTCCCCGCAAAACATAACCCAGTCTTAGCCCCTGTTACCTGTGACTGTGACCTTGTTTGGAAACAGGCCCTTTACAGATGCCGTTAGTTACGGATCTCAAGATGGGATCACCCTGGATTTAGGGCGGGCCAGTGACCAGTATCCTTATAAGAGAGGAAGCGGGGGGGGGGGGGGGGTGCCAGAACTGGGCAGAGGGCAGGCGGCAGCTAGGAGCCTGGGGCACCGAGGATCACCAACAGCCGCCCGAAGCCAGGAGAGAGGCGGGGATGGTGTCCCCCTCAGAGCCCCGGGAAGAGCCAACCTTGCCCAACTTGGGTTGGGGACTCCTGGCCTCCTGGGCAGAGGGGGGGTACATTTCTGCTCCTTGGAAGCACCAGTCGGTGGTCCTGGGTTGTGGCAGCCCCAGGAAACTAATGCCCAGTTCCTGGCCAGAATGTTGACTCACCCCGTTGCTGCCCTAGTGCCCACCCCTGACCCCTGACCCCTGACCCCTGGCCCCACACTCCCACACTTACAACTGGCCTAGGGTCCTGCCTCCTAGAGTTCTGCCTCCCTCCAGAGGAGCAGGGACAGGCTAAGGGGAGCCAGAGGCTCCATCCGTCAATGTTCTCAGCAACCCCTGGTGGGGGGGCGGGGGACTATGGCCCAGGGAACTTTCCCTCTTCCCTTAACATCAGCCCGGCTGGGAAAGTGCTGCCAGGCCAAGGGGACTCCAGCCTCCACACCGTGAGAACTTGCTCTGTGACCTTGGGCACGTCACTGCCTGGCCCAGCAGCCATGGGGGTCCCTGCTCTGTGTCCAACAGGGTGGCCATGAGCCAGACCCCCTCGCCTCCCACGGCTGCTCTGTCAGACCAGGCTCTACGGTCAGCTGGTCTGCCTGCGCTCCAGGCCACGGTGGCCGTACCCAGCCTCAGAGTTCTCGTAAAGACCACCATCAGCCTCAGGGAACTGGGGCTGGCCCACCTCTTGCACTCACCAGAGGCCTGGCACATAGCAGGCCCTCCATGACGTGTGAATGAATGCACGGATGAATGAAAGGTTGAATGGATACATGGATGGATGGATGCATGGATGCATGGATGCATGGATGGGTACCCTGTCCACTTCACGCCTTTCCAGAAGCCATGAAATGAAAGAAGGGCAGATTTTGGACCCTGGCCCACTCCTCTTGGCCTCAGTCTCTCCCCCAGTCTGGATGCAGGTCTGAGATAAAAGGTACCACACTTACCTGCCCAACCTGACCACAGGGAGGGGGGCAGGGTCCCCTCCCAGCTCAAGGGAGCTGAGTCTGTACCTCCAGTTCCCCATCTGCTTGCCCTCACCCCTCAGCCAGGGACTCCACTCAGCCGAACCCACAAGCCCAGCTGCCAGGGGCAGTGAGAGCTCGCTCTGGGTGCTCCTACCTCCTGGGCCTCAGAGCTGTCTTCTCTGCATGGAAGCTGGAAGGCAGGCCAAGTACAACCATCTCCCCATCTCCCCAGCCTCCAGCAGGGGCCTCCACCCACCATCTGCCACCTGGCCAGGCTGACCTGAGGTGGGGCCTCCAGGGCGCGGGCTCCTTCAGCTCCTGGTCGGGAGACCCTGACTCTGCCCCCCACCCGTCCCCAAGCAAGTTCGGGCCTGGCGAGAGACAGTGTCATTGCCCATGCAACACTCCCAGAGATACACATAAGGACCCCCCAGTGTGTCCCTTACTTGTCTGCACGTCACATGTCCCAGGAGAGCCAGGCTCCTGCATGGGGAGAAAGGGGGAAGAACTGCTGTGGCCCCTGACCAGCTTCACTGCATCAACTGTTCCTCCCTCCCTACAAGGACGCTATCAGAAGATCCCCTTGCTCGGGGCTCCCCTCTTCCCTGCCTCTCCTCTCCCGCCTCCAAGGTGGCCCTCGGCCCCTGCCATGATGATGGCCTGGTCCTGCCTCGGCTCCTTTGCCCAGGCTTGGCTCCCTGCCTGGAGCATCCTCTTTGGTTCTCTTTGCATGAAAAACCCCGGAGAGTTGTCTCAAAACTGTCTGCACCGAGTCCTCTCTGCGCCTTCCCTGTCCCCTACTTCCGTCCTCAGGGGCCCCTGCTCTCTGTCCCAGCATCTTCAGCAGCTAATTGTTTCTGCCACCAGACCCCCTTCCCTGCTCTCAGGAAACGCCAAAGCCACACTCCTTTGGCCTCCCTAGAGGCCGCATGGAGCCTGAGGGCCCAGCCCGAAGGCAGGGGACCCTGCCTCTCTCTACTGCAGCAGGCCTCCCACCTTCCAGGTTCAGGTGCTTCTGTGACAACGGCCAATTGTCTCCACGAGAGAAGGGCCAGGGGCCAAGTTCTTGGACAAGAAGAGGTGACAGAGGCCCTGCTGCCTGCATGACACCACCTCTGCTGGAGTCCTAGGTGGTTAGCAGTGCACACAGAGCCACTGGCTTCTTAGAGCCCTGCCTTCCTCCCAGGACATCACTGGCCTCTCTCATCTCTGGGCCTTTGCACCTGCGGGTCCTCTGCCCAAAAGGGCCCTTTAGAAACCACCTGCATCCACTTTCACACACTCATTTCCTGCTCATCCTTCGGGTCTCAGCTTGCAGGCCACCTCCACTGGGAAGACTTCCCTGATGATCCCAGGAGGCTCATCCCTGCAACCCCCCCAACCCCCAACTGCTCCACTATGGACAAACCTCCCCCGCAGCTGGGACCACTCGCAGGCAGAGCTGAACCTGCATGCTCAGCCCTGCAGATGTGGATCCTCAGAGGGAGTGCAGAATGGCTGGGCCGTGCAGACGGGCAGGCTGGGCGGGCCGGGCTCCCACTGAAGGCTCCCTCCCCATTCTCACCTGAGCTCCCAACAACCCTCCTGCCCCCACGCAAGGCCCTCTCTCCCCTGGCCCAGCACCCACCTGCTCCTCAGCCTTCCAACGGAGCACCGGCTGTGGCAGGGCCATCTCCAGCCTATGCAGGAGCCACGCCACCAGCCTGCGGGTGGGAGAAAGCCACATGTCCAGGTGGGAAAGTGACACCAGACCCTCGTCCCCCCCCAACCCAAGGCAGACAGCAAGCCTGCCAGGAGGGAGACCAGAACCCAGGTCTCCGTCCCAAAGACCTCCTCCCTGGCCTCCTAGGGCAAGTCTCTAGGTAATGGTCAGACCCCAGAGGTAGCTCAGGCTCCCCCAGACTCCCACCCCACCCCCACAGGTCTACCTCTGGCCCCTCACCCACTGGAGGGCACGGCACCTGTCAGTACCGACCCTGATTTTACATGCATGTACCCTTTGGCCCAGCAACTTCGTTTCCTACAGTTTACCCTACAGAACTGCTTGCATGTGGCGAAATGAGGCCTGTACAAGGCTCTGGCTTGCAGTAAAAGAGTGGAAACAAACTCGGTGTCTACCAGGTGGTTATATAAAAGCTGGCGCATGCGTCTAACAGAGTACTACACAGCCGTGGAAAGAATGAAGCTGACCTAAATGGATGAAACCACTTCAAAGAGACATTTCAGGGTGAAGAAAGAAAGGGACGGAGGAGTAGATACAGTTGCTATTGTCAGGCGGGTGTATTTAAAAATGAAACACACTCACAAGCTTGTCCGCGCCTAGAAAACGCTGGGAAGGCTGAAGAGCTGTGGATGCAGTTGCCCTGGGAAGGGGCCCTGGAGACCCCTTTGAATTTTCTCCCAGGGGCATGTGTTACTTTTATAATTTGAAAAAAAGAAAGCGCGTTTGGTGAAGGGTGGGTGTCGGGCTGCTGCTCCCCAGGGAGGTGTGGCATTGAGGGAAGCTCACCTGGCAGGGTCGCTGGGGGACGGCAGGGAGGAAACCTGGAAGCTGGGCTCAGGTTGAGGAGTCAGCTCCTCCTTGGGCTCCGGGGGGCCAGGGGTGGGCAGGGGGTGACTCTCCGGGGCCTGCAGCGTGGGCTCTGGTTCCAAGGGGTGTCCCGGGGGCTCTAAGCGGCAGGAACAGTGGGACACTAAGATGACATGGCAGGGCTCCATGTAACCCCCAATGGGCACAGGGGGCCAGACTTGAGAGGCAAAAATAACTGAGTGGGGTCACCCTATCATTGGACAGACACAGAACTGAGGCCGGGGGAGCAGAAGGGACTTGACTAAGACCTCACGAGGCTGTCCCAGGCCCCTGGCTGTCCAGCCTGGACTTTGGAGGGGGTTCTAGTGCCCCCACAACGGACCGCTCCCAGCAAGCCCCAAACCCCTCCCGAGCCCGGGTGAGAGCTACAGTCCTCCCCAGGGTCCCTCAGGCCCCAGTTGTACCCCCAGGCCAGGCTGTGACCACCTCAGACAGCCCCTGCCCAGGTCCCCTCCCCATACCTGGGCCCAAGGCAGCGTCTGTAGGCTTGTCTCTGCAGCCCTGGATCATAAGCAGGGAGAGAGGGTGTGGAGCAAAGCATGCCCTGCCTGCTCCCTCCCCGGGCCGGCCATGCACTGGCCTGCCCTTCCCCCTGAATGCCCTGCCTCCCTCCTGCGGTCAATCCTCCCATCTGGGACCCTGGGTGGGGGTGGGAACACACTGCTGGAGTAGGCATGTCCTTCCTGAGACTCCCCCGGTGGTCAGCTTCCTGCTTTCCCTCTTCCTCCACTTACCTCGGAGGTTTTTGGAGGCTGAGGCAGCACTTTCTCCAGGTTCTGCTCAAACCACCTGAGCAGCCAGGGCCCAGGCCTGCAGAGGGGCCAGTGGTCAGCCGGTGGCCTGGGGAGTGGCCAGCCACACTGTTCTGACCCCCAGCTGGGGCCCCAGGCCCCACCCCTCCCTTCCTGGCCCTCGGCTCCCATTCTGCACAGTGGAGGCCTTATGCTGGACACTCCCAAAAGGCCTCGGGTGGTGGAAAAACCTGCCAACCTCAGATTCTGGCCTGGGGCTGGGCCCAGTTCTGTGCTACCAGGCCCAGCCTTGGCCTCCTGGGCAGCAGGTGAGGGGTGGGGGCTGCTGAGGGACCTGAATGCAGCAGTGAGCGCCCTGTGACCGGGACAGGTAGGTCCGGCTCCGTGGGGACGTGATCGGTGCAGTCACGCTGGGCCCGTTTTTTATTTAGAAGGGCCCGTTTTTTTATTTTTGATGCTCTGTCATAATAGTCTTAAACGTTTAACAATCTTTAAAGGAGTCCTGCATTTGCATGCTGCCCTGGCCTCCCAAGTTATTTAGCTGCCCTGGGGCAGACATCGGGTCCCAAACCAGCGCTCAGGGATGGGGACTCACCCAGCATCCTTCGCCCCGGAGGCCTCCTTGGACCCAGCTGCAGGAGAAAGCAAGGTGGTGAGCTGGAAGGGGACCGCCAAGAGACCCCAGTCAGCCCAACTCAAACCCAGGTTTGAACCCAAGGCCAGTCCAGTGAGACGCTTGTTCCCGTGGGCTACCCCCAGGGGCAAGGCCCATACCAATCACCCCTCCGCCCCAACTCTGTAAGACCTGCCTTACCTGAGCCCCCAGTGCTGCAGTGCCCAAGGGTCTGAGATCCTGCCTGCCAGGACAGACAGACAGGCAGGAGTGGGAAGAGAGCCCAGGTGCACCGGCCTCCCACGGCCCCTTCTGCCCTTGACCCTCCACCCTCTGCAGCTCCAGCCCCAGCAGTACCTGATCCAGGCCTTCTGGGCCAGCTGCCAAGCTCTGGGCTGGCCCGCCACTAGCCACGGGCTGCGGGACGACCTTCTCCACACCCCTCCTGAGCCAGCTCAGTGCCCAGGCACTAGGACTGCAGAGGGACAGAGACACCAGCCAGGCCTCAACCTCCCCAGCCCCAGCCTGCTCAGAGGGGCAGTTGACAACGAAAGGTCTTGGTTTTTCAACCTAAAGAATTTGGTGGGAATGGCAAACCTCTCCCTCCCCACTGTGAGACTTCAGACACAGTGTCCTCTCCCCCTGAGACTGTGTCCCTCTCTGGAAAGTGGGGACACCATGTCTTTGGGAGTCAGCTATGCCCCGTGCCATCCCGAGTCCACCCCCTATCTGATGCAGTTCTCTCCATCCTCCTGCCCCCTGCTAGCCTGGCCCCAGGGGTCCCCATCCTGCCCTGGGCACACATCCTGTACTCCCAAAGGCTTGAGAGATTTCTGGGGGTCTCTCCTTGTGGCTGAGGTGTACCATCCTAAACAGGGGGGCTACGGGCTCCCCGCCTGGGCTAGCCCCAGCCACAGATACTCTCCCTCGGATTGGTACCACCGGTCTAAAATGTTGGAGCCACCTGGGAGATTTCATGCGAAAGTCTGGATTTCTGGCATTCTGGGAAAATCAGAAGCTCTGGCCACTCTGGACCTGCATTCTACCCAGGCGCTGATGAACCTCTAGCCCCGTCCACGTGGCCCAGGAGACGCCCGAAATGTCTGCCTCAGGCTCCCTTCATCCCCTTCCCAAAATGCCCCAAACTTTGCCTGGGAGTGACTGTGGGCCTGACAGTTGTGCTGGTTCCCACTGCCCAGGGGGTCCTTAGCCTGGGTGGGGGGCAGTCCTGTGGAGGGGGGCAGCCCTGTGGAGGGGGGAGGTGGCACAGTACCTGTTCACTTCGGGAACCGCAGCAACCTCGGCCCAAAGGCCTGTGGGCGGGGCAGAGGCAGCCTTCTGGGTCTCTGCAACAGAGTCCCTCACACTTCAGCTCTGGGGCCTCAGGGAGCCTGTTTCTACCCATTGGGGACGTCAGGTCAGAGGTAGGGGAGAGGGGAGACCCCCAAGGGGGCCAGAAGGCTGGGACTCCAGCTCAACTCAGGTAAAAAGTCCCAAGGAGCCCACCCTTAGCCTCTCTGAGCCTTGGTTTCTTCATCTGTGAAATGGGCCAGCCAGCCTCCTGGTTCTTCGTCAAGGCTCCGAGGGGAGAACACAGCCCCTTCCCGCCGCCTGCCCTGCCGTCCTGGGCTTCCAGCACTCACCCTGAGGGTTCGGGTCAGCCACAGCTACTTCCTCCCCTCCGAGTGGCTCCTCGGGTGGCTGAGGGGTTCACACAGGACCGTGTAAGCCCTCGGAGAGACCAGCCTTGTTCAGGCAGGGGACCCTTCCACCCCCTCCCCCAACAGTACCAAACAACTGTGTTCTCATAATTGTCTCTACGAATCCTGGTGGCCTCACCTCCACCTGGGACACTCCCATTCTCCCAGCCTCAGGGTCCCCTCATCCAGGACTGGACCCTCACACCCCCTCCAAGGTGGTCCCCAGGCCTATCGCCTTGCCCAGGAAGCTGCCCCACTTCAGTGGCCTGGGAAAAGGGGAGAACGTTACAGAGTTATGGAGGCTTGGAGCAAACTGAGGGGAAGAGGGAGGTGAGAGGAACCCCACCCAACCCCTAGTCAGGGCCCTCCCTGTCCTGGGCCAAACCTTCCGTTCCCCTCCAGCAGCCAGGTGGACTTCCGCCCCTGCCGCCTGCCTCTCACCTGCCTCGGCGCCTCCCATTGCTGTGTACATGTATGTGCATGTACAACAGACAGACATACGAGCTTCTGCTCACTCACTCTCACAGCCATTTACATACAGGCACAAACACATGTGAGCTCGTGTGCGTATAAGTGGAGACACAGGTGTGGGTTTGGGGACATGTGCATGCATGCACCAGCACAAAATAAATGAATGTGTCCCCACACCTTACACATGCAAGACAGAAAACGTGTGTGCACATAATTTGTGTTGCATGTCCTGGGGTGCACACACATATGCAACCCTGTGTGGGTGCGCACATACACGCAGGTGTACACATACGCATATACCTGCAGCGCAAAATCAAACATAGGAGCATATGGCACAGACATACAGTCATGTACAGAGATGCACAAGCGTGCAAATCCATTCACAGATTCTGAAACATGTGTGCATGTGCCCATGCATACACACTAGCATGCCACCTATGCACACACTAGTGTGCACATTGGCATGTGTGTATACATCTGCTTCTGCATGCACATGTGTGTGCATAGTCATGCACCCCCAATTTCAAGCACACACATATGCACAAACATACCACTGAGGACACACAGAGTGTTCCTCTATGCACACACACCTGTGTACATGCAAACACACACATGCGCAAGCCCTCTAGCTGGGTGGCTCCCTGTTTCCCAAACAGCCTGCACTGCCCGTGATAGCCTTTCTCTCCCGCACACTCCACCTCTCCATCTGCCCCAGTTATAACGTGCCTGGCCCTCTGTGTCTAGCAAGCCCCCAGCTGCCAGCTTCCAATCCCCAGAGAGAAGACTCTCTCCCTGTTTGGAGCTCCTGTCTTTCTCAGTCTGACGCACTAATTTGGCCCCCCAGAAGGGGAGAGCTGAGGCCAGTGTTGGGGCGCCCCACATTTCTGCATCGCCTCTGTCTCCTTGCAGAGTGAGCCGGCAGGTCCTTGTCTGCTGACCCAGGGAGCAATGCCCTATTCCTCACGAGGCTCCCAGCACTGCACTCAGAGCCTGAAGTCCGTGAGAAGCTAAATCGAACCTGTTCAGCTGAGCTCCTGAACCAGTTGTCATCAGGCTCCTGAATGAATGATATGCAGACTGACAAGTTTGGCTGCGCTCCAAGGAAAGTTCTAGAGCAGTGCTGCTAAAAGGGTGGTCCGTGAACTCGTGTCAGTCTGCAAACTGTTACTGGCCCGTTGTGACTATGGACAGTTTGCACCTCAGTGTTTATTAACTCACCACTTCCTTCACTGAGGAAGTCTTGCTGCAGAGCAAATAGGGCAGAACCAAGCAGGTGCCTAGTTACAGAGCAGATTTCCCTCCTAGCAAGCTCCTAATCCCGCCCTGGCCTGCTCACAAACGGTTCATGCACTGGCTACTTCGAGCGGCTCTGTTCTAGATGCCAGAGGCTGGCCAACAGTGACCATGGGCCAAATGCAGTCTGCTGCTCATTGTGTAAATAAAGTTTTATTGGAACACAGCCATGCCCATTTGTTTATGTATTGTCTACAGCTGTTTTCACACACCAGCGACAGAGCAAAGTAATTAACAGAGATGGCATGACCCACAAATTCTAAAATATTTACAGTACTACCCAGCACGCCCTTCCGCAGCCTCCGCTTCTTACCGGGGACTCCTCTTCTAGTCTGGCCTCCTGGGGGGCTGTTTCCGGCTCTGGCTCTGGTTCCAGCTCTGCCTCCGGGTCAGGCTCTGGCTCTGGTTCTGCCCCCTCCTCCTCCTCCTGAACCTTGCTCTTCTCAGGGGTCCCTGGGGGCTGAGGCAGCACCCTCTGCACCCAGCCCAACATCCTGACACCTGTAGGGGACAGAGTCCTGAGGTCCCCCAGAGTGCTGTGGGAGGCCCCCACCATCCGGGGGCCACTCTTCTGGATTACACACTTCCCTTTCCTCTCACATTATAAAACATTTTTGCAATTCTTTCTCCTCGTAGAAATACTCAAGCCCACAAACGTGTATGTGTAAAAGAGGTTGACCACAATAGCATTGCAGCAAAAGATGAAAACCATTCCAATACCCATCAGCAGGAGCCTGGCTTCTGGAAAGTCCCCAGCTGTTCACCTGTAAGAGGGGCGCATGTTAAATCCATGTACACTACCTCCGATAATGGAATATTAAGGGTCCATTTGAACTAACGTGGAAAGATGTGCATGCTCTGGACTCCAGTCATGAGCTGACCCATTAAAGTCTTAGGGCTTCAGTCTGCTTGTCTGTAAAATGGGATGTTAATAGTACCTACTTTGTAGGGGTGAAGGGATGGTAAGGAGGAAACGAACTGGTAAGACCAGTGACTTGCATACACTGGGAGCTTAATAAAATGTTGGCTGTGACTATTAGTTGGTGTCAAGTAAAAATGCTTGTTCTGGAAGATCATGTTCAGCATCATCCCCTTGCAAATTTTTATAAATGCAAATTTCATAAGTAATATGTAAATGGAAATCTGTCTTAATATAGACAAAATGAACCCATTGTCATGATTAACAGTTTTTAAGGTAAAATGACAGTGAAACCCCTTTTTTGTGGTTTACTGTGACATTTCAGCCCTGCCTTGCATGGCCTCAGTTTCTGGTTTCATTTACCTGCGGGGAACGGGCCCCCGGCCTCCTGACTAGATCCCCGCAGGATGGCCTGGCCTGCGGGCACCACACAGGTCAGTGTGTGCCAACTCCCAGCCCTGAAAGGGCCCTTCCGGGCCAGTGCCCACCACGGTGCCCCTGCACCCTCGGGTTCTGGGGGAGTGCTCCTCTCTCCCTCCTCTGCCAGCAACCCGGGCCCCAGCTGGAAAGGGCAGTCACGGGGCCCAGGATCCTGCCCCAGTGCCCAGCTCCCTGCAGCCCCTGGCCACCACCTTCCCTTCTGCTCAGAGCTCTGACTGCTGTCCCCACTCTGGCCTCAGAAGCCTAGCTTCCCCTGTGAGAGGTGGTGGCAGGGGACAGAGCCTCAGTTCAGTCTCCAAAAAGATGAACTTGGCCAGACACAACCCCTCTGGTCGTTCATTCCCTGTGGAGTGAGGGTATAGACCCAGTGATTACCCAGGGCCCAAGAGCCCAAGGTCACAAGGTGGATTCCACCGACCCCAACCAGCAGCCTCACACGCCCAAACCAAGCTAAGGGCTCTTCAGCCATGGCCATACCCATCCCCATTCTCACTGCCTCCTGCCTGGCCCCGGTAAAAAAGCATTGTCATCGCACTTCACAGCAAGGGAAATGGAGGCACAGAGCAGTCAGGACACTTGCCCAAAGCAACACAGCCAGTAAGTGGCCAAGCCAGGTGGGTTTCTGCTCACGTCTGCCTGACCCCAGGTGTCCCCCATCTTCCCACTGTGGTACCAGCAGGCCAGCCCTGCAAGCCCCTCCCAGCAGTCAGCCACTGGCTCCTGTTTCTGAACCTTCTGGAAAGGTCTACGGAAGCCTGCCTCATTCCCAGTTTCCCTTCTGCCCCCAGACTCGGCCCTTTCCTCCTACATGGAAACCTTTGCAGACCCCTTCTATCTTCCAGCCACATCCCTGCCGACTCCACTTTGATGACGGTGGCTCAGGTAGGAAGTGGGGTCTGAGGTGACAGCCCAGGACAACAGTGGTGCTAGGACCACCAGCCTTTCAGAATCTACTAGGGAGCTGGTAAAAATACAGATTCCCAGGCCCCTCCAACTCCCCCCGCCCCGTGGGACCCAGAATCTGCATTTCAGCAACTGCCCTTGCGCCACATGGGGAGGGAGAGGTGAGGGAAGCCCCAGGGTTCTCAGCCTCGCCTGCTTCTTCACGTCTAAGTGCCTTGCTAGCAGGACAGTGTGGCGACCCCATCAGCCGTCCCACCACCACTGAGCTGCCGCCACATTCCGAGTTACCTCCTCCGATGCCGACCACCAGCCAGGAAATACCCTCTCCCTGCTGCCTACAGCTGGCCTCTCAAACACAGGGGGATTAATTGGCAGCACTGGGGCCGTGTGCAAAGGATTAGCAGGTGCAAACGGGGCTGGGGAGGTGGTGGTGGAAGAGAGGAGGATGATGCCTTGGGAGACAACAGCAACTTCCTGGAGGCCAGCAGGGATATGGGGTCCGGGCAAGGGGTGCCAGGTGGCCCGGGTGTGGGCGCCATGCGTTGCCAGAGGGCCTGCCCAGGCACCATGTCTGGCTCCCCACACACCTCGGCCAAGCTGCAGACGGGGTGGTGGGAGAATGACAGGTTGGAGTCCCTGTGTGATTCTGGGAAACTCCCCAACATGGCAGGGGCTTGTCACCTCTGGGAGAGCAGTGGCGGTGCACCCCAGCCCTCCAGTACCACGGCTGGACTCAGCAGAACCTCTCTGGTCCGGACTCCTCGGTGGCTGGGGCGGGGCCTCAGTAGCCCCTGCCCTGGGCTCTGCCTGATGGCTGTGGTCCCGGGGTGGGGACTTTCGGAAGGACACAAGGACTGATGGGTGGCTGATTGTGGGGAAACTGGCCTCCTGAACTACAGTCGGACCCGAGAGGGGAGACAGGTGTAGGAGGAGAAGACAAAAGGGACAGGGGCCCAGGGAAGAGGGGCTCAGTGAGGTGACAGGACCTGGGTGGGAGGGGGGTAGAAAAACATTCAGCAAAGAGGCAGGAACCTGACTTCATCACAGTATTTCTCAAGCTCTTTGAATGTGCCCGGTATGTGTGTGTTAGCCTTGGCATCTGATCAACACAGGCCTGTGCCCTGACGGTCGTGGCTCAGCTGGCTGGGCGTCAGCCCGCAAACCGGAAGGTCGTAGGTTCAATTCCTGGCCAGGGCACGTGCCTGGGTGAGGGCCAGATCCCTGGTTGGGGTGGGGGTGGTGTGTCTGGAGGACAACCCACTAGCGTTTCTCTCTCACACTGATGTTTCTCCCCCTCTCTCCCTTCCCCTCTGCCTAAAAATAAATAAATATTTAAAAATAAAACAGCACAACTTTGTTGAGGTGCAATTTACATGCCCTAAAATCCACCCATTTCAAGTGCACAACTCAGTGATTTTTAGCAGACTGCCCGAGCTAGGCTGCTGGCACCTCCTTGTGTCAGAGGGTGCCCATCCCGTCACCCCAACAAGCTCCCTCGTGCTCTGTGATGGTCCCTCCCCACCCCACCCCCTGCCTGGGCAACCACTCCTCTGCCGTGTCTCTAGAACCTGCCCTTTGTGGACATATGTGGATGAATCGCCCCATACGGAGCGCGCTCCTGCGTCTGGTTTCTCTCACTTAGCGTAACGTTTTTGAAGATCATCCACTCGACAGCATGGTTCTCCAGCTCTTTCTCATTCTCAGGAAAATTCTATGGCCTGGCTACACCACAGCCTGCTCTCGCCCGTTCACCGGTCCGTGGACCCCTGGGTTCTTCCCACTTCCAGCCACGATAAAGAAATGCCGCTATGGACGTGGCGTGCAAGACCTTGTGTGGACGTATGTTTTCATTGCTCTTGGCCAGATTTCCAGTAGAATTGCTGGGTCATACAGTCAATTTGTGGTTCACTTTTTTTAAAGGTTTTATTTCTTTTTCGAGAGGGAAAGGGAAGGAGAAAGAGAAGGAGAGAAGCATCAATGTGTGGTTGCCTCTCACATGGTCCCCACTGGGGTCCTGGCCTGCAACCCAGGCATGTGCCCTGACTGAGAATCAAACCGGTGACCTTCTGGTTTGCAGCCCATGCTCAATCCACTGAGCTACACCAGCCAGGGCTATGGTTCACTTTTTAAGAAACTGCTGAACTGCTTTTGCAAAGTAGTACCCTGTGTCTTGAGTGGTGGTTACATCGGGTCTCCCTTTATAAATGATTGGTTACATTATTTATGCACTCTATGTATTTTGCTATATTTTACAGCTATAAAAGAGTTTAAAAATAAATGGGGTGGGTGGGTGAAAGGAATGAACTCTGCAGAGTTTTCTATGAGCAGTGGACTTGGGGGTGCAGCCCTGGGGCTGGGTGGAATACGGCAGGAGGGGCAACGGGGGAGCCAGACCCTCTCACAGGCTCAGCATCTGGGCAGGTATCTGCAAAGCCCACACCAATGCATGCAAACAAGTCAGGGTCCCAGAGGGTTCCCTCACGTGAAGGGTATGGTCTCTGGGGCTCTGGGCTTAGGCACTTGTGACCCTGCTTTCTGGGAAAAAGGGAGGGAGGCCGCAGACCTGCAGGGAGCTGGGGATGATGTCTCACCTCCTAATCCCTGTCCTGCTGAGGCCACCACTCTCCCTGATCCCCTTACGCTGACCCTGGGTACTGGCCGCCACTAATCTCCACCCCTGGGACCCCAAGGGCTGGCAGGCAGGACAGTGCCCTAAGGTTTGCAGGAAGGGGAGGACCCTTTCAAATCACAGACATCCCTCATGGCAGGGTCTAGGGCCCTTGCTGAGCACAGAGGGGAGCCTTGAGGCCCAGCGAGAGAGACAGTGACTAGTTCAGGGACACACAGCCTGCCCCGGCCAGCCCTGGCATGCCCATCCCCAGAAAGCCCTGCTCCTTGTCTACTGCCCAACATGCCTGGCCTGCGCTGTGGCCCGGGGACAGCAGCCTTCGCGAGGGCTGAAGGTGGGGCACAGGATCCCTGGAAGCCTGTGGTTGCCAGGGTTGCCAAGAAGTGGGTGCCCTCACAATCAGACTACAGTGGGCATTGTCCGCAGAACATTCTTTATTCTCCTACTGCCTCCTAAGGCACTGGGGCCTGGCCCATCTCCCTGATTCCTCTCCCCACTGAGCAGCTGGAAGAGCAGCAAATCCTTAAACACTGGTACGCCTGAGGCCCGTGCCCTGCAGGCCAGTTGCCACTGTCGGTGGGTCAGGAGCAGGGAGTCCCCTCTTCCCTCCTCTCCCTCCCTGTGGCCTCTCCCTGCTCCTCCATGGCCCTAGGTCCTACCCCCTGCCCACCCGCCACCCACCAGCATCTCTCACTGCTAATGGGGCTCAGGAAGGAAGCAAGCTGCGTCAACAAATTCTCACTAAAGTTGACATGGCTGAAGGGCTCCTGGGAATACCCGTGTTTTACAGGAAGGCACTGCCCAGCCAGCACTGTTTTCCCAGTTCACGCCTATGGTGTCTCTCCCTTGTCTCCCCGTAGACTCAGTAAATGCCAGAGACCTTCACTAAGGCCCAAAGTCCATAATCAGTTAGTCACCCAGAGGCCACTGAGCTCAATCTGAGCCCACTTGCTTCTGCCACTTCCTGGTCATTATTTAAGAACAGACTGGAACGCCACCCCCTTCAGACCGTGCCCTGATCACCGCAGCCCCCAGCCTCCCCAGGCACGCACCTTGGTCAGCGTCCTTAGCACATCCTCTGTGTGTCTGTCACATCCTCTGAGTGTCCCTGCCACCACACAGGAGCTCCTGAAAAAACAGGATCTGGCATCCAGCAGGTGCTCCGTAGCTGTGGGACAGTAGACAAGTCAGCCCTGGCCAAGACCACGTCCCCACGTGGAAGGGTGTCTGGCTGGCCTGAGCCCTGGGCGAACCCCTCTGCACCCTCGGCTCCGCAGCCATGGCCCGCATCATCGACCTGGTGCCCTGGGAGGATGGCTCCACCCACGTGTACGCGTCCCCAGCCATCCTGCTCCCGATGGAGCGGCAGAGAAACCAGCTGGCCGGCGTGAAGCAGCAGCTCTACCACCCGGCCCTGCCCAGTCTGCGCCGCATGGACATGGACTCTGTCAGGGCCTGCCTGTCGGAGGAGCACTGCCGGTCCTCCACCTACTGCCGCAAAGGTCAGGCACCCCCCGCCCCCACCTCTGCCTCTGGCGCCACCTGGGCCGGGGCCTCCGGGGAAGGAGTGGATGGTTTGGAGGAGAGGGATCTGGGATTGAGACACCCGTGGCAGGTGAAAGCGGTTGAGGGCTGGACCCAGCTGTGCTGCTTCCTACCCAGCAAACCTCGAACCTCACCAGGTCTGAGACTCCGTCTCCTTCTCCGTAGAAGGGGGTGGCGGTGGGGCCCACCCCCCAAGGCAGTGCGGGATTAAGGTGAGACAGGGCAGGAAGAGCACTGAGAGTAGTGCCTGGCACCCACTGGGTGCTCAGCGGGTCGAGCACATTGCAGTCATTTATTGTAACCGGGAGAACCATGCAGAGGTCGGCAGATACCTCAGGAGGAGGAATAATAATGGCAACAATACCAACTTCTGTCCAGTTGTCTCTGCACCTCGAAAAGGGACAAAGACCCCTCTCATGCCTCCCGTGAGTGAGAGGAGCATGTGGCCAGGGAAGAACTCTCCATGGATCGGAAGCTTGGGCGTGGAGGGGAGGGCGCCGCAAGAACACACACGTTCCTTTATTTAGCACCTCATTTGTGCCTAACACTGTGCCGAGTCCCCAGGGAAACGCAGGGTGGCAGCTAGAGGGAACAGCATGTGCAGAGGCCTGGAAGGGAGAAGTGGCACAAGGTATTAGGGTGTGGTAGCACTGGAGGAAAAGGTGAGAAGGGGCAGCAGGAGCAGTGGCTGGGACCAGGGCACAGCCCAGGAAGGGCCCTGCTGCTGAGCTCAGGGGCCCTGACTTTCTCAGGAGGGAGCTATGAACCTCTGAAGACTTTAAGCAGAAAAGAGCTCTGAGCATTGGAGGGGAGGGGGTGGAGGATGACCCAGAGGGACTAAAAGTGGATAACAGGGAAGGGGTCATGAGGACACTGGGAGGGGCCACATTCTTTAGGAGGAGTGACAGTGGCAAGCTTTGTGACAAGTATTTAGGAGGTAAAAATATAGTATTTGGTACTGGTGTGGACAGAGGGACAGAGTGGGGAGCCCAGGACAAGACCCTGGTTCCCCTGTTCCCTGGTCTCTGGTCCCACACGTATCAGAGACTGCATGGTGACCTCCAGAGGTCCCACACAGATCCCTGCAAGGCCAAGATGGGAACTGGGAAAGGAGAAGTGGGCCCCCCCACCCTCACCGCCGTGTGGGAGGTGTCAGCACAGCTGCCAGACCT